TGTGTGTTCATCTGCGCTGAGGTGATAGTCGCAGAAACGGGCCGTTTCTTGTGACGAACTTCTGGAATGATAATAGGCATATCATCATCATATAATGCTAATTCTGTAACTGGTAAGATATCAGAGGCAAATTTATTAGATTTAGTTGACTTCCCTTTAGATGACGGTGTAGATCTTGGAGTACGCAGAGTACAAGATGATATGGCTGGTTTCCTCGACTTGGACTGAGACGACGGCAGCTCTTGAGATGCAGGTCGCTTCTTGGACATAGCGGACTGGCGCCCCACGCTTATCCTCCGAGGGAAACTCAGGCATGCCACCAGCCGGTGACGAGTCCTCAGTCAACAGTTGACATGAAACATTAATTTGCGATGTATTAGCCATGTTTGAAACCGTTCTGAGATTTATCTGCCTTCCGTATGTAAACGGAACATAAATATTTGTCAAAGGCAGAGATAGGTAAATTGCTACACAATTTACAACGAGAATCAAAGGAACATGGAGTAATGCAACTAGGGCATTTTAAATGAGGATCGGTATCAGAGTAACGTAGTTTACAATCTGTGCAAATTTTCATTAATGTAGCCTACTGAACAATCACGGCAAAGCGTGAATAAACAGCAGAAACACAATTAATAATCAATGCAAATTGAATAAATATACTAGCACTACCTCTATACTAGCGTATAAGAGGAACTAAACTAGATTTAAAATATAGCTGCGAGCAGCGATATAGGGCTCCTTGGCTTTACTTCTTTGGAGCCTTGTGCATCTCTCACATATCTCATGAAAGTAGTAATGAATCATATCACTGCTAGTCGAATGCTCTTCGACTGGAAGTACTGGGAGGTCATTAAATTTCGATATACTCATCAAAAAATCCTATTTTCGTAGATTAAATAATATCACTTAGGTACAATGAATATCAAAACAGAAGAACCCTTTGTTCAAACAGTCAGAGAAACAGAAAATTTTGTGGCCTGAACTAAATAATTTGAAAGGTTCACTGTGACTGACATTATGTGAATTTAAATGTACGTCACATGTAGCTGACAAGTCGTGATTCACATTTAACGGTCAGTAAACACAACTCATGTGCCATTTACGGAAAGAGTGACATTTTCGTGCTCTTTATTATGGTGCATTGCCTACTGATAGAGGTACCTGGCGAGTTTAGTGCGGATTTTTTCTGCACTGTTGGTAGACACCATTTCCATCTAAATATTAACAGCAACCAAAAAGACATGTCGACACGAAGCACTCGTGCTCTGTATTTCGGTAGCGTTTATCAATATCCATAACACTGTTCCTCTCACGCTGACACAAGTGAACATGTGGTTTTACAGCAACTAACGTACTCCAGTAGGGGTATTCTCGGGGACGTGGACATCCTAAGTCGTGTAAAAGCAAAGTCTAGAAAAATGTGTCTACTTTGGGTTACTAAGCTAATTAACGCCAGACAATAGACAGAGTTTGTGATTGCAAGACTTCAGGCAATGCTAGACTGCGTAATTATAAGGAAACGAAACAAGGGTTTATTTACAGTTTTAATAAAATTATAATACACTGTGTCGGCAATGACGCTAATGTTCCCACGGTTATTAAACATCGACAAATCTCAGTTTCATTTGGATCAGCGGGGTGGTTGTGAGAGGATGTCGTTACCTGTAGATACAGTTGATTTACAACACTTGATGCCACGAACACCAGTCATTTCTTCTTCTCTTCAGGATTCTGTATGGGTGTCAATTCACGCAGAAATATCTTCCGCCTCGAAATGTCAGAAGTAATTTGTAATCTAACTGTAGCAACAATTTCCTGACAGTGATTATTACTCACCTAGCGTGTACACTTATCGGAGTGAACACATTTTATGAAATCAGTCAACACTACAAGCGATTTCTGAGTGAACTCACTCACCTATCATAGTCACATGCTAACCACGCTTACCAGAGTGAACTACCAGAGTGAACAGACTCACCGAAACCTTCACAATTCGGTAACAGTTAGGATTTTAACACTTCCCGACCAGTTAATCCCTTACTTAAAACAGACGACATCAAAGGAAACCCGTCTGTCCACGTCCTGAGAAGACAGACAAATATTTTCCTTAAGTCTCACCTCATGTAAAAGTACAGAAGTGGCATATATGATAAAAGGTACACTATGGATTTAGCCGCATAAAATAAGTTTTCTTCTTTGAAGAACGCAGGTTTTGGCTGTAAAATAAACATGTTCTTTAAATAGTAAAATCATTTCTTCATTATCACATAAATCTAAGAAGTTGGGATAGCTGAAACACATATGGCAATATAAACTTTCACGTAGATCATCGTACAGCGCACATGCCAACAGTACATGACGTTCGACTTAAATCTTATCACTACATTGAAAACACACTCTTTCATTTACATGCATATTTGAATATCTGCCTGTTTCCAACTTTAGAGGTGCAGAACGGATCTAAACTTGGAAAGGGCAGATCGATAGAGCTGCATTTGCACACTTACATAGCTTTCGTAACCATACACACTTCTCTCGCCTCCCATACCTGCACGTGAACCACGCTTTGCAGTGGTAGTCTCTTTATTGGACATATCATGAGGGGGAAATTAAGCCGACAAACAGTCGCCAAGGTATCCCATGCACATGTTGATATGTAGATATAGATGTAGATGTTATGACTGCATACTTACCTATTACTTTTCAAGTGCTATCCATGCTGACACGGTGAATAAACGTGCACAACTTGTCTGCGTTTGTGTGGAATCGATAACAAACAGCGCGTTTCAAGGAGCGGCTATAATCGTCCTCGCGCTTTTCTTCAGACTGTCGCATGTTTTGCACGGGTAATCTGCCGTGCCGTAAATGTCGATGAAACTTATGACACATTCGGCAATGTATCCCTGGGCCGTCGGTGATAAAAAGAAGTCCCTATTTTGTTAAATCTGTCCAAACTTTGGGGTATTTACTGTAAGTATTATTTATGATCACTGGCACGTTGTTGGAAGCCTCTTTGCGTAATGTTTGGCGTGGTGTGCCTGGAGGTGTGGGTCAGTTTGTTTGGCACTCTTTTTCTTTCGTTTGGGGTTCGTCTCAAATAGTTTTTTTCCTTTTAGCTCCCATACGTTGTATTCACACGGATAATGTTGAACGCCGTAGCGCTTCACGTGACTTTGACATAGGACCAAGAACAGAAAATGTTCAACAACCAAAGGCCACTTCAGAACAAGCGTTTAAAGTGTTGTATGTGCTAAGTTTAGTTTGGCACAAAATGGCAAAGAAGCCCGTGAAAGTTTTGAAGACAACTTTTGCCCAGAAGTAGCGTCAAACATGGCGGCCATCAAATACACATAGCCACATTTGACGATGCTACTGTGTAGTAAGGTGCATAGACACAAAGTATGCAAAGTTTGAAAGCCGTAGCTCTTGAAGTTTCAGTGCAGCACATTTTGGGAGGAAAGTAGTCAGCATTTTGCTGAAAAACATCACCAAAACTTCAATCCAAAATAGCGGCCAAACGGTGCATTTTAGCGACTTGACCGGCCGCCCAGGCTGAAATTGTAGGCATTTTGATTGCGCATCTGCTCCAGAACTTTGGCACACATTGGAGCATTAGTTTTGGAGAAATTTGCATTTGAAATTGAAATTTTTGAATTAATTTTGAATTATCTGCCCTTTGCTATTGGTCCTACAGCCTACAGATTTTAAAGCGCGATATGTACCCCTCGGTGGGCATCTGGGTGATTTTTGTCAAGGCATTCTGTCCAGCGGTGCTCTCTGTAGCTCAGTTACAAAATACGGCGGAAGAATAAATAATAATAATAATAATAATAATAATAATAAAAACACGAACGATTACAATAGGTCTCCTGCCTAATGGCAAGGAGCCCTAATAAAGGATATATGTGTTGGGAGACACAGGTGCTCTCACGTCCAGCTCACTGGGCGAAGAAGGAGAGAGTGAGGCACATGGGCTTGGGTGGCGCCCTCCTTCCCGCGCTCACGGAAAGGGAGATAACTCGGGGTGAGTACTAATGAGTGATTTTTTATTGAAGGGAGCTTCAATTGGGAGATACAAGTGTTCCACTAGGTTCGCCAGAAGAAGAAGACAAGCAAATAAACATGAGTCAGGATAAGAAAAAATGTGGATTTGTCACCAATTAATTACATGACAAAGTTTTTTTTCATCTTTGTTGATCAATTTAAGGATTGTACTACCAGTTGCACTTGCGGGCGGTGCAGCAGAGACCACAAACCAGTCAAGAATTCTGGGATATCATCCGGGACTCGTGGGGGGAAAACAATAACAAATGCAACAACCAGTCCCGAGGAATTACTCTAGATCACTGTCCCTTTAAATCTGAGAAAGATGGTGATGGTGATGATGATAATGATATTGATGATGACGACCTGAAAGGGTACTCACAATAATAACTCAAGTTTGGTGAGGGAGTGAGTGAATGAGTATGGTTTTACGCCGCTTTCAGCAATATTCCAGCAATACCACCAGAAATGGGCTTCACACATTGTACCCATGTGGAGAATTGAACCCGGGTCTTCAGCATAATGAGCAGAAGCTTCTTTGGTGATGGAAGATAGTTTGGGGCAAAAACCTTCTTAGTTTGGATACTTATTGAAAACAAACTCAGATTTATTTTTATGAATGTGCCGACATGACCCGACGTCACTAGTACAGTATGCCATATAGAATGTTAACCTGTGAATGGAGCAAGGGCTTGGCCTAGAATAAATACATCCGCAGTATTTATTCAAGGGCTTCATCATCATCATCATCATCAACAACATGCTGCTGAATATCATGTTCAAAGCACATTAGCCATTGCAATGATCTGTGTACACTTGAATTCTCAGCTCCAGGTGAGTACAAGTACCTGTGGCCCTTATCACTGTGAAAATGGTATACAGTTTGACTACATTAAAATTTGGTTAACAGATTTTTGTTTTCATTGAGCAATCACAAGACTGTTTTACATTACCTTTGAGGAGTCAAAACGTTTCAAAAGATTCAACAGTTTAGGTAGCTTTATCCTAGTTTCTTCTTCACAAAAAAATACCCATGGTGTACTTGGGAAAACATCTGGAAACCTGGAACATAAAGATGACAGGCTGTACATTTTTATTAAACCTCCTCTGTGGTGTAGTGGTTAGAGCGTCCGCCCGGAGAGCGGAAGGTCGCGGGTTCGATCCCCGACCGCGTCATGCCAAAAGATGTTAAAATATGGTACTTGTTGGTCCCTGCCTGGCGCTCGGCATTAATGTGTACAACAAGGACTGGTCGGCTCGGAGTCAGTATAATGTGTCTGAGTGGGGTATTCATGCTTCACTGCGGCATGGTATCTCAGTGGGCTAGCACTATAAAACCAGCTTAAGTCTGGGCTAGTACAAGCAGCCCCACATACACATACACACGCATGCACGTCGTCATATGAGCGAAATATTCTCAAGCACGACGTTAAACCCAATTTCACCTCACCTCACCTCACATTTTTATTATTTCATAGACCTGTGAAGATCCGGGTTAGAATTAGTCTTCAGTAACAATTGCTTGCTGTATGAGGCGACTAGCAGGATAGGATGGTGAGGCTTGCTTACTTGGTTGACACATGTCATCGTATCCTAATTGCATTGATTGATGCTCATGCTTTTGATCACTGTATTCTCTGGTCCAGACTCGATTATTTAAAGACTGCTGCAATATAGCTGGAATATTGCTGTGTGTAGCGTTAAAACAACAAACCACCACCATTATTTCACATTGTTCCCAAACTTCCCCAAATTGTGTCCCCCACGGGAGCTCAAAGAGAAAAGTAAACAGGTTCCAAGTTTGCATTAAGGCCACATTGCCCCTCTTGGATGTCTGACACAGACCTGGTTCCAAGTATGCATTATGGCCACATTGACCCTCTTGGATGTATGAGACAGACCTGGTTCCAAGTATGCATTAAGGCCACATTGACCCTCTTGGATGTATGAGACAGAACTGGTTCCAAGTATGCATTAAGGCCACATTGCCCCTTTAGGATGTCTAACACAGAACTGGTTCCAAGTATGCATTAAGGTCACATTGCCCCTCTTGGATGTCTAACACAGAACTGGTTCCAAGTATGCATTAAGGCCACATTGACCCTCTTGGATGTCTGGGACAGACCTGGTTCCAAGTATGCATTAAGGCCACATTGACCCTCTAGGATGTCTAACACAGAACTGGTTCCAAGTATGCATTAAGGCCACATTGACCCTCTTGGATGTCTGGGACAGACCTGGTTCCAAGTATGCATTAAGGCCACATTGCCCCTCTAGGATGTCTGGGACAGACCTGGTTCCAAGTATGCATTAAGGCCACATAGCCCCTCTAGGATGTCTGGGACAGAACTGGTTCCAAGTATGCATTAAGGCCACATTGACCCTCTAGGATGTCTGACACAGACCTGGTTCCAAGTATGCATTAGGGCCACATTGCCCCTCTTGGATGTATGAGACAGAACTGGTTCCAAGTATGCATTAAGGCCACATTGCCCCTCTTGGATGTATGAGACAGAACTGGTTCCAAGTATGCATTAAGGCCACATTGACCCTCTAGGATGTCTGACACAGACCTGGTTCCAAGTATGCATTATGGCCACATTGACCCTCTTGGATGTCTGGGACAGATCTGGTTCCAAGTATGCATTAAGGCCACATTGACCCTCTTGGATGTCTGGGACAGACCTGGTTCCAAGTATGGATTAAGGCCACATTGCCCCTCTAGGATGTCTGGGACAGAACTGGTTCCAAGTATGCATGAGGGCCACATTGACCCTCTAGGATGTCTGACACAGACCTGGTTCCAAGTATGCATTAAGGCCACATTGCCCCTCTTGGATGTATGAGACAGAACTGGTTCCAAGTATGCATTAAGGCCACATTGCCCCTCTTGGATGAATGAGACAGAACTGGTTCCAAGTATGCATTAAGGCCACATTGCCCCTCTTGGATGTCTGGGACAGACCTGGTTCCAAGTATGCATTAAGGCCACATTGACCCTCTAGGATGTCTAACACAGAACTGGTTCCAAGTATGCATTAAGGCCACATTGCCCCTCTAGGATGTCTGGGACAGACCTGGTTCCAAGTATGCATTAAGGCCACATTGACCCTCTAGGATGTCTGGGACAGAACTGGTTCCAAGTATGCATTAAGGCCACATTGCCCCTCTAGGATGTCTGACACAGACCTGGTTCCAAGTATGCATTAAGGCCACATTGACCCTCTTGGATGTATGAGACAGAACTGGTTCCAAGTATGCATTAAGGCCACATTGCCCCTCTTGGATGTATGAGACAGAACTGGTTCCAAGTATGCATTAAGGCCACATTGACCCTCTAGGATGTCTGACACAGACCTGGTTCCAAGTATGGATTAAGGCCACATTGCCCCTCTAGGATGTCTGGGACAGACCTGGTTCCAAGTATGCATTATGGCCACATTGCCCCTCTTGGATGTCTGACACAGACCTGGTTCCAAGTATGCATTAAGGCCACATTGACCCTCTTGGATGTATGAGACAGACCTGGTTCCAAGTATGCATTAAGGCCACATTGACCCTCTTGGATGTCTGGGACAGACCTGGTTCCAAGTATGGATTAAGGCCACATTGCCCCTCTAGGATGTCTGGGACAGACCTGGTTCCAAGTATGCATTAAGGCCACATTGCCCCTCTTGGATGTCTGACACAGACCTGGTTCCAAGTTTGCATTAAGGCCACATTGACCCTTTAGGATGTCTAACACATAACTGGTTCCAAGTATGCATTAAGGTCACATTGACCCTCTTGGATGTATGAGACAGAACTGGTTCCAAGTATGCATTTAGGCCACATTGACCCTCTTGGATGTATGAGACAGAACTGGTTCCAAGTATGCATCAAGGCCACATTGACCCTCTTGGATGTCTGGGACAGACCTGGTTCCAAGTATGCATTAAGGCCACATTGACCCTCTAGGATGTCTGGGACAGACCTGGTTCCAAGTATGCATTAAGGCCACATTAACCCTCTTGGATGTATGAGACAGAACTGGTTCCAAGTATGCATTAAGGCCACATTGCCCCTCTTGGATGTATGAGACAGAACTGGTTCCAAGTATGCATTAAGGCCACATTGACCCTCTAGGATGTCTGACACAGACCTGGTTCCAAGTATGCATTATGGCCACATTGACCCTCTTGGATGTCTGGGACAGACCTGGTTCCAAGTATGCATTAAGGCCACATTGACCCTCTTGGATGTTTGGGACAGACCTGGTTCCAAGTATGCATTAAGGCCACATTGACCCTCTAGGATGTCTAACACAGAACTGGTTCCAAGTATGCATTAAGGCCACATTGCCCCTCTAGGATGTCTGGGACAGACCTGGTTCCAAGTATGGATTAAGGCCACATTGCCCCTCTAGGATGTCTGGGACAGACCTGGTTCCAAGTATGCATTAAGGCCACATTGCCCCTCTAGGATGTCTGGGACAGACCTGGTTCCAAGTATGCATTATGGCCACATTGATCCTCTAGGATGTCTGGGACAGACCTGGTTCCAAGTATGGATTAAGGCCACATTGCCCCTCTAGGATGTCTGGGACAGACCTGGTTCCAAGTATGCATTATGGCCACATTGCCCCTCTAGGATGTCTGGGACAGACCTGGTTCCAAGTATGGATTAAGGCCACATTGCCCCTCTAGGATGTCTGGGACAGACCTGGTTCCAAGTATGCATTAAGGCTACATTGCCCCTCTAGGATGTCTGGGACAGACCTGGTTCCAAGTATGCATTAAGGCCACATTGCCCCTCTAGGATGTCTGGGACAGACCTGGTTCCAAGTATGCATTAAAGCCACATTGACCCTCTAGGATGTCTGGGACAGACCTGGTTCCAAGTATGCATTAAAGCCACATTGCCCCTCTTGGATGTCTGGGACAGACCTGGTTCCAAGTATGCATTAAGGCCACATTGCCCCTCTAGGATGTCATGACAGAACTATACAAGTACAATATATGTTTCTGTTTTTAGTCAAACAAATGTTGCATACATCAACTACGCTCTATTAACATGAGCTAGAGAAATTGAAATTTCCTTATGTCACAGATCAATAGCATGATCCCTACTGGCAACACTCATGGCGATAAACACTACATTAAGTACGTTATGAGCTCAATAACTGTATCACATTCCAAACATGCATTCTGGGATCAATAGAAAGTAAATTAAACAACTGCATAATGACATGTCCTACCATATATGGTATATGTGATGTTTATTGTGACACTGAAATCAATTTCAGCTCAGCTTATTATTGTGACAATACAATTACACAAATAAATGGATAAAAAGATGCAACAATATCTTAATTCCTTCTAACCAATTTAACGCTGTCATGGACAATTATCAGGACTTGGTTGGTTTGTTGTTATTCCAGCTATATATGGCAGTGGTCTGTTAATAACTGAGTCTGAACCAGACAATCCAGTGATCCACGACATGAGCATTATTCTACGTAATTGGGATACGATGGCGTGTGTCAACCAAGTCAGTGAGCCTGACCATCCGATCCCATTAGTCGTCTCTTACAACAACCATGGGTTACTGAAGACCAATTCTAACCCAATTCTAATCATTCTAACAATTATTAGAGAGAGATAGCTACAGATCATCACAAAAGGGACTGCTACCAGTTAGTAGTCTGATAATGAAATTGTATTTATAATTTCCACCGTGGACACGTTTTTCAATGAACAACATATCTTGAATGCTGTTGAATAATGTTCAATATTCTCAATTTCAGTCACACAGGGTTTTTTTAAACATAGGCTTGTGATAAAACAAATAGTCCCCTTGAAATGTTTTAGTCTACGACAAAGGGACTAAAGTACTGTCGGAAATAGAAAAACAATTTTTTTTTCACATTTATATCTATAATTTAGGTAGTTAATATGTGAAAGTGTGAAATATCTGTTAAACTAAGTTCGGCCTAACTACAGTCGCAGTGGTAGGGAGATAGGATACGTAAAAGACAGAGTTTACTGAGGAGACGCAGGTTTTTTTCTACGTCCAGTGCGACTTATTCAGAACAGACCATGGCTTTATGCAAATTAGTGTGCGATGATGTTGTATTACAAAGGACACTTTTTCAATGCCCATTTTGAAATTAGACTTAGCTTCATCATAAACGATAGCAGATGTAAAAAATAATAACTTTAATACTGAAACTATTAAGGATGTAGCTACCATGGCGTCTCACTATCACTATAAAAAGAAACAGGTAGGAGGGGTCGTCTAGGAGGGGTCATCTCAAAAGCAAAACCAGGACGGGTGTCGCAGACGGTGATTGGGGTCGGGCTGGGGAACTGAGATATTAACTAAGATAAGATAATCAATAGAGACATATTCAATACACATGAAAAAAAACATAAAATATCTTTGAGATGACCCCTTGTGCCTGTTAGCAGCACATGCATTTCATGCCAGGTGAGTCGACGGTCTGTCGTCATACATGACTGAGCAACCTAATTGCCATCTATAGTCTGATCTATTGTTTTGCCCGATTTTACAAGTAAACATGCTTTTCTGGATATCCTATTACGCATCCCCCTGAACGCCCAGTTAGGCCGATGTGGGTTATTACGACATATGCTATTTGCAATTGTGTAAATTTTCGTGATACAGAGTAACAGCCTAAAAACAGGTTTTTTTCTATTTCCAACAGTACTTTAGTGCCATGTCCAACTTTTCTGGCTGTGATGAAAAATGGAAAAGAAATTGTACAAACTCACACAAAAAGTCATGATCAATCTCAAAATTACCATAGCAAATTAACAAGATATATGAGCAGCGTAAATGATCTGACTTTCATATATTTTGAAATTCAAAGCATTTGACATTTGATGTTTAATGCATTAAGCACATCAGTGAAACTAAATATTTTTTGTAAATTAATAGCAACATGACATGGTTCCAGTCACTGCTTCTGAAACTGTATTACTATAAAATATTTCAAACCTATGTTTGCACTAAATAATTGAATAGTGAAATTCAAGTGAAATACAACCCATGATATTTGAAAATTATTTCTTAAATTTTCGACATAGTGGCCAGGGTTCCGATCCGCAGGATTCTTAAAATAACTCCAGTGTTTAGTGGGGTCATCTGTATTCATGATTTTATAAGAGGTATTTAAACCAATCAGAGATGAAATACTCACACTGAAAATACAGGAAATAATGTCCATACTCCCAGAGATGGCAGGCCTTCTGTCTCATGGAGAAGATACAATCCTGGACGATCATCCTGAAACCAAACAGTGAATAATCAGATCATATTCATGACATTAAGCCACACTGTTCCCATGCTAAATGTTTACAAAAGAAATACTAAAATATTATCAAAAAGGCTACGTTAGATTGAAAACAGTTTTTGTTATACTACTGATACTTGTTTGCATGTTTTATTTTCAAGCAGGCAGGCTGTAGTTAGGTCACTGTTGTATTTTGCAGTATCTGGCAGTAAATTTTCTACACCCTCAAACCATATATTTGTTGTTTAATGCCACACATAGCAATATTCCATCTGTATGGCAGCGGTCTGTAAATAATCGAGTCTTGACCAGACAATCAACAGCATGAGCAATTGATCTACACAATAGGGATACGATGACTTGATCTATACAATAGGGATACGATGACTTGATCTACACAATAGGGATACGATGACTTGATCTACACAATAGGGATACGATGACTTGATCTACACAATAGGGATACGATGACATGTATCAACCAAGTCAGCCATGGCTTAATGCAAATTAGTGACCACCCGATCCCGTCAGTCGACTCTGGGTTGTAGAAGACCAATTCTATTAAAATTACTATTAAACAATAAACTGAATAATACTAGAAAGCAAATGTTTATGGTATTAAAGATGACAAGTATAATATAATGTGGTGAAGTGCAGTGTGGTGCGGTGAGGTGAGGTGAGGTGACGTGGGGTGGGGTGGGGTGAGATGAGGTGAGGTGAGGTGAGGTGGGGTGGGGTGGGGTGAGATGAGATGAGATGAGGTGAGGTGAGGTGAGGTCTTGAACACGATTCCATTTGTGCAGTGATGTGGACACTTCCAAGTGCCTGGACTTAGGGTAAAGTGTTTAGAGCAATTAAGTTACACAATTCATTCTACACTTGCCATTTTGCAATACAGTGCAGCTGTCTTCTTACCCCTTTTAAGTTTAGTTGCTTGACTTGTTTCTCAAAGTCCTCCTTTAAGAGCTGTGCCCTTTTGGCATGGAATGAATTAGGCTGGGACAACACGATGAATGTGATATCCTTATACTCAACATCTGAAGCAGATAATGAAGAAAAGAATGGGTTAGTTTTAACACCGCTTTGAAGGATATTCCAGTTATATCACTGCATGTAAAAAAAATCACACAAAAAACCACCAAAAACCGATCACGTTAGTCACCTCTTACAACAAGCATGGATTAATGAAGACCAATTCTAACCTGGATCTTTACAGGTATTAATAATGATGAATAACAAGGAATACCTTTTTGTTTTTCTGCTCCACTTGCAAACAAAACTGTCAACAATGCTGTGAACAGAAAGACATCAAAAGATCAGTGTGTACTTGCATTTTCTATTTCTATGCTATTTTATGGTCAATGTGTACAATATCTTATATGACCATCTGCAAATTTTCACAAATGACATGCCAGCACATCATCAAACTTGTATGACCACTCTTGTCTCACATCTTATTTTACATTTCATGACCAATTTCTAAAACACCCTATTTACTTAACTTTAATAAAATGAGTGAGTGAGTATAGTGATAGTTTAATATTACAGCAATATCAAGGCGGGGGCCACCAGAAATGGGCATCACACATTGTACCAATGTGGGGAATCGAACCCGGGTCTTCAGCATGACAAGCGAACGCTTTAACCACTAGGCTACCCCACCTCCCCTTAACATATCCTTATACCCAACTTTGGAGATACAGACCAATATGTTTTCGCAGCAGTGACAAATTTACCAGCAGCAAGTTTTTTGTGCTATTCATGAACAGTTTGAAGCTGGCATTATTATTGGCTTGACCCAAGTTGACAGTTGGAAGGTCCCAGAAAAACTGCTTCGCAATGTTATAACTTGTTTGTGTCCTTTATTATGCTTTGGAATTTTTTTATGTCATTATGCAGACATAATGAGTAGAATGAAAACAGTCGCTTTCATGTGGCAATAATGTTGTGCTTGTCATGCAGTTTATGATGTGTTGCGTTTTCTGTTTAGAAACAAGGACATAACTTTTAACGAAGATTTGATAGTAGCTTATTAGTGTTGGGAATTGTTTAAAATTTCATAATTGATGATTGGTTTATTATTTATAAAATTTTCCTGGTTATGTTTGTTAATGCACAAAACATAAAGAAAAAACCTGTAGTTCTTTCGAGTTTTTCGAGAATTGCACACAATGCATTTGGCAATTTTACATCTTTAAAGGATGACTAATATGTTAGGAACATAAATTTCCTGGAGTCTTTAAGATAAAATCAATCATGACTTGGAACGAGCTGGTAGTGCTTATGAAATGTAACAGACAAAACCAACCTTGTGGAAAATATTGTTAAGCAAACAAGTGTTCCAAAATTGTTTGTGATCGATTATGAGAAAACATGATCGATTGTTAGGTCGTTTAGTCATTGCGACCAGTCTTCGATTATTTCAATTAATCGGACCACCAGCAGGTGAGTTTGTTATTTGTATCAAAATTGACACACTGAAACACGCTACTTTCAAGATTTACAGGATGTATTACACACAACTTTTCAGACCGTTTAAACAAACACAAGACAAGGTGAGGTTAAATTACGTTACTAAATCTACTACTATTATTCAATCTGACATGTTGTTGCATGATCGTCCTTAAGAAATACAGGCTCTTAACTAATAGAGAGAATTTCGGGAATTTTTTAAAAGTTCAGTCATCCGTGACGGTGTGGCAGGGCGTCACCCATGGACAGGAACACGAAACTTTCAGTTTCTTACACTGCGATTAACAAGCTCTCTGCTGCATTGATGTGACAACTTCGGTTGCATTCATGCGTATATGCCTTACTCTATGAAAAGCTCTGAAAACTAAATAAATTCATATTTACGATCTCATAGAAACCAACCTGTCAAAACGAAGAGAGAAAAATTTGACACGTTTGAAAACGACGCCATGTCTCCAAGTGAGTGTTCCTTCAGATCTGAAGAAGAGGTTAGCTGATTGGACAGTAATCATGCACTGACCAATAACAACTATCCTAACAAGTAGACCCTTGGTATCGAAGTTGTTTACAATATGGCGACCAAGAGCTATCCGAAGTGGTTGCTGGATTGTAAAGAAGATATCACAAAGTCAAAGGCAACTCTCTTTTCCTCAAACTATTTATTTAAATAGCATATAGAAGTAAATCATAATCAAATATAGATAACGATGCCAATGTTAGCGTTTAATTAGCAATATCAGATACACATGCCATCCGGCAAATTTCGCGCACCTAAGCACATTGATCGCAACACGGCAACTATCGTCTCTTATTTTTTGTGGTTTACGTGACTGAACATGCTGGTATGCATAAGACGACTATAAGATTCTAACGTTGCATTATGCCATACGGTTGACCTTACCGGCGTTCTGACGACATCGCTTGCTGTCCGGTAATTCTGCGCAGCAACTGAAGCGCATAACATCCAGCTGGAGATCCGAAGTATGGAAGCGTATTAGGGCCAGATTATTTTCAAAAATCACTTCATCAATGTAAGGAAGAGTGTTTCATATTAAATCCAATTATGAATAATGAAGATAAAGGTTTAAAGTCTGAAGAAAACGAATTTTCATAAAACTGTCAATTTATCTGTCAGTTACTGTTATTTATTTACTTTTAGTGATTAAAAGCCAGGCCCTTGTAGAAATGTCCCGATTTCAAGCGTAAATGTGGTAGCAGATGATGTTACCTTCGATACGGAAGTACGCTAATTGCAGCTGCGCAGAATTACCGGACACGCAGAATTACCGGACTCGCTTGTAATATTGAAAGTAATCAGTTGATAAAGACATCAAGACATCACTTATCCATTTGTTGTTAAAAGTTAAAATTGATATACAGCGTTCATGTTGAAGGTATTAATGTTGACATAATTTAATCTAGGAATGGAATGCATTTCTTCATGAGCTCCATGATGCAATTCAGCAGCAGCTTACAGAGAGCCATGTTCAGTATTTTACTGACCTCTCTGAAGCGGAAAAGGAACTCTTTATGGAAAGGGCTACCAAGGCCATTGAAGGAGGTAACATCAAAGACCAGTAAAATGAACTAGTTAGTGGAAATGTCATTTTTCATGCACTTAAAATCCGTAGCTGGTCCTGCTTGATAAAGTCTGTTTTATTTCGTTCAAATCTGAGGCAAAATTAAACCATTTACCACTGGATCAGAATTATAGACTTCAAATGCTACTATAGTTTAGGACTATAATCATGATAAGTGGATTTTTTACTGTCCCTCAACTGGTTGACTAAAATGAATTTCAAAGATTGCAGGAAAAGATTTCAGTTGAAAAGATATATGCTTGATTCTACTACATATACCCATCTGCATGATATTTTCAGGTTACAGGGAATTCATAAATCATAAATAACTGCATGGGACTTATGAATCTCACTTGTGCACCATTTTACACAATAATTTTAAGCCATTTCAACTCATTAAGACAGATCTATTATTTATGTATTGATACATAATTGTGTTTGAATATGGATACATTACAAGGAATCAATGTTAATTAAAAATATGATAAAATATATCACCAACAGAAACTTCTGCCCCCCTTGTAGCAACTGGTGTGAAACACCACCACTTCACTCTGACAGTTTCCATATCACTTAAATCCATTGTATGTCATCATGCTACAGATATGATGACTTTTTTGAAACCAATTTCTTGACAGCATTGCTTAGGATTTCAGGTTCAGGTGTTAAATATTGCTACTAGCCAAGGCCGTCAAGAAGTTAAATATCAAAATTCATGAAGTCCTTCTCATTTTACCAAACATTAGTTTTATTCATAATTTAAATTCATTTTATTTTATCTCTTGTGTAACTCTCATGAAATCTATAGTTTAATTGGAATGAAAATGTATTGCCTTTTTAAAAAAATATTTTTCAGGGTCAGTATTTGCTGCCCTATCGAGGAAAGTATCTTCCATGACAGACCAGCATCTAAATGAAGATGTTGCGAAACAGCTGATGGATGACTTTCCGCTCTCAACAAAGTCTGACCTTGTTATTGATTCTGCAGAGGAAGGTGCTCTCAGTCTATTACGTCGCTGGCCTGAGATGAAGGCAAAGCTACATGTCTGTTTTAATCAACCTCTCCCAGAGGCAATTAGACAGCTTGCCTGGAGACTGTACCTCAACAATCCCAAGTGTATGTATTTGATTGAGTTTATGTTGGGTTCTTTGGAAAAATTCATTGCCCCAATGCAAGGGAGTAAACTAACTGTGCATGTAACATTTTTATACATATGCACCATATACATTTTTTTCTTTTGATACATCCATGCTTTAGGTGAATCACATCCATCGACAGATGAATTGATGTACTCAAAGTTGTGCAATTTGTTTTAACATGTTTAAGAACTTTAAAGTAGAAAAAAAAAACAAGATGCTCAGGGGTGGAAATAACCCATTGCCCAATGTCCGAGTCCAGTGTTTTTTTCTGTCGGGCAAGCAAATTCGTATATCACACTGTACCGGCATCCAGTTGACTTTCCAATGTTAATTATGTTGTTTATTTAAAAACTTCAACAAGAAAACGGCCGGTATAGTGGAAAAAATTTCAGGGCAAGTGATTTCACATGTGCCACTGTACCGGAGTACACTAGCAATTTTAAAGTTATTTTCACCCCTGATAATGCTTCTTATTTGGACTACTTTGGGGTGAAAGTATTTAACAATGCAGTATGCGAAATTTATGCTGGTCCTGGGGACCCTGGCTTTTAAAAAAGTCATCAGGACCACTAAACGATAAGTTTGCAGGGTACCGTTTGCAATAGTCCTGGTGGCCAATGGATTTTGTATTGATAGTTAAGTAAATCTACGAATGTTATTTTGGACCAGTGAAATACAGACAGGACCACTAATTATTGTCCACTCACTGGTAGTGTGATCTAGTTGGACAGTTTGAAAGGTTTCTTTCCCTGCAATGAATTTATAGTGGTCTGTAGGAATTGTTTTAGCCTGTGTTATAGTCCCTGAACTACATTATTTTCCCTTTCACTCAGCTCTTTCTGTAATGAGAAAGCACTCAGTGAAGCAAGTCCAGATTTTCTCAGAACCTTCCATCTCACTATGGTAACTTTCTGTTTAAGTGGAGTTTGATTCTATCAATTTAATTCTATCAAAATTGTATGGATTTTCAGAGAGCAGGTGTTAGTCTAGAACTGTTTTACTAATGTAAGGGTCTGCCTAAGAAAAATTATCACATTTTAATCCAGATAGTTCCACTTACCATGAAGTTGTCATTATGTATAGATTCATTAATGAAACCCAAATTCCTCTTCAGATTTTATCATCACAAGGACAGGCATGTTGTTCTTACAAATACAAAACCTCTATCAAAATCACTACAAGAATTGCATTTTTCAGTTGTAATCACATGGTCAATCAATCTTTATTTGGTACTTAAAAGGCCACAGGCCTATAGTACATTTATATACACAATATTTACAACTGAACAGCAGAAAAGCATATGTGAAATATTTACAGATTACACATTTAAAGCAGATTTTCTATGTATAAATGCAAACTAGATATACATTGACAGGTTCTGTAATTCAATTGTATTAACAGGGGTTGAAATAACTTTAAAATTGCTAGTGTACTCCGGTACAGTGGCACATGTGAAATCACTTGCCCTGATAATTTTTCCACTATACCATCCATTTTCTTGTTGATTTTTTAAATAAACAACATAATTAATATTGGAAAGTCAACTGGACACCGGTACAGTGTGATATACGAATTTGCTTGCCCGACAGAAAAAAACACTGGCAATGGGTTATTTCCACCCCTGATTAAATACTATTGAATCACACTATCAAAATATTCAGATTTTCACCAGATGTCCTCTTCAATGTCAACCATTCTTAACTAGTTGAAACACAGCCAGTATCTCTCTTCTTATGCAGATTTCCATGTTCTTTAGTCTTGAGGAATTATGGGATGGGCTGACTGTCTTTGATGAATATGCAGATGTCCTCAATGTAAACATCTTGTATATTTATCATATATGCTTTAGAATAAACAGGTTCTTGCTACAAAACAATCCTTCTCGCGTATATCATGTGTCATGCTATTTTTTTCAGTGAGGAAGGAGTATATAGATATTCTTAACAGAGATCCTCGTGCTGCCATATCACCTGATGACCTCGAGATCTCTCAGAAATGTGAGCAGTTGTTGGCATCTGAGTCGACGTTTGCAGACATCCAGGGATCTGTTGGTGAGTTCTGTGGTCCGGAAGATGTTGTGAGGGGACTCCTACTTAAACAAATGCCTACATTATGATGTACAGTAGCATCATAGTCTGTGGTACAGACACTGAATCAAATATATCCAAGAAAGCCCACACAAGTCTAGAAAATGTGGCAAGTCTAGACTTCCACAGCTTCAGGGTCTGTACCAATCTGCTGAATTCACAAGCCAGCACAGTGCTTGTGATTATCAGTTGATCTCTCGCTGTCACTAGTGTTAAATATTAACTCATACGAGCCTCCCCCACCACTCCCCAAGACCCCACAATGTGCCAAGGCCTCCTGCTTCTGCCCTGTCCTCTCACTCCAGACAAACAACATGTGTGATTACACTAGAGACCTGATCACGGTATGAAATGTACCAGTTATCGGGGTTCTGAATGGGTGAACAAATCAAGTAACCAGTTCGAAGGTTATACCACACAATCAACTCTTTGTTTTTGATTTTTATGACATCAGTGTATTTATGCTGTGTGTAGTGTCTCTACTGCTGAACTGTCATAACTGATACATGGTCTTGAGAGTTGTCTGCCCTTGGTCATAGGAGAAATGTGAGTAAGGAACACATAGCATCTGTAAATGAGAGGAACATTAAACACATGGAGCATGTATCAGTTTCTACACTAGTTATTCCACAACTTGGTATCTGAAACAATGCCCACATTACACATTAGAGAAGTGTAGTTGTGAGTTACCTCCCTTGATCAAATCCATCTCGCTCAGGTCAGTGTAAGTACCTGAGTACCTGACAAAGTAGTCTGTCTCACAGTCCCTGAACCACATTATTTTCTCTACTGCTAAGCCCTCTCTGCAGTCAAAGGCCCTAAATAAAGCAAGTCTAGATTTCCTCAGGTTCAGGGTCTGTTAACATCTGCAAGAATCATCTGTCAACTCTTAATTAACAAGCACATTGGGTGACTTGAAGCTATAGTTGAGGCCTTGTGTACAGTTTCTGGTCTTGAAGAGACAAATCAAGCAAAATGTTGGGGAAAGGTTCCTCTTGAATGTTATGTTGTAAAAAGTATTTGCAGGGCTCGATTTAGTACTTTGTTACTTGCACGGGTGCAACCCAATATTACAAAGTGCAATATAGCTATTAACTGAACTTGCACCTGGTGCAACTCAATTTTTGAGTGGGTAAACTCTCAATAAAACATCTAAATCATTCAATACCATATTTCTTACATTACATATTGCAATAAAAGCAGTGCAACTGGAATTTGGCTGGTGCAACTAGGTTTTTATCTTAGGTTGCACCTGGTGCAAGTAGGTTAACATCTCTTAAATCGAGCCCTGATTTGTTTCACTGCCTGACTTGCATCCACACATAGCAGCCCAATTGTTAATGTGGTTAGGGTTTTAATTGTAATTAAGACAAGGACTATTTTTTGTTCCAGGTATAGGATTATTGTGTGAAGCTCTGGTGTGTTTTGAGTATCTCACTTTATTTAATTGCTCTACAGTAAAACTCTGGGTCAACATATGGTAGGGACCTATTTGTGCACAGGTTCAATCTCATTGATTTGATCAAGGCATTACTATCTCTCCTTTGTTCATATGCCGGGATTTGTTTCAGAAACAGTTTTTTTTGTGCTAGCAAATTAAACACAGTGAATATGAACAGAAATGAAGATATCGAGAAAGCCATAAAAGTAGGACTTGAAAAACTACGAATAGAAGAAATACGTCCAAACCAATGAATTGGTATCATGTCTTACCTGAAGGGAAATGACATGCTGTATTGTTACCTAATTGGGAGTGGTAATCTTTGACATTTGAAATTGTACCATTTGTGTATAAAGAACTTCACAAAACAAACGAAGCAACAGTAACACGTAGCTCTCATGAATAATCAGTGAGTGAGTTGGTCTTACACGGCATTCAGCAATATTCCATATATGGCGGTGGTCTGTAAATAATCGTGCCTGGACAAGACAATCCCGTGATCAACAGCATGAGCATCAATCTACGCAGTTGGGATACGATGACATGTGTCAACCAAGTCAGCGAGTCTGACCACCCGGCCCCATTAGTCGCCCACTCATGAAGAACCAAAATGAAAAGGCACAGCATCTCAGAATGAAATCTGTTTACCTTCGTGATGTGATTGAGGCATGCAAGGTGAAATCTAGTGAGGATGATCTAGTATCCAGAATTACCGAAAATATCTTCAAGCATTAGACAGACGCTGGTATTTTCACTTCCATTGAACAGTTTGTTTAAAAAAGGGGCTTATCTATATCCTCTTCACATATTATACAACTGGAAACTTTTGAATTTGGAGATAAGTTCACATTCATAAATAATTTTGTTGGTGTTCCAGATAGATCTTGCACCTTGGTCATCTAGTCTGGTCATCTGCAAGTTTCCCAACTGTAAACTGTTAGGCAGAAGGGGGGCTTGACTGGCCCACATGAGTGAGTGAGTGAGTTAATATTTAACGTCACATCGGCAAAATTTTAGCCATATCGTGATGAAAACAATTTATACAAAACAAAAATGAAAACATTGTGAAGAGTTACACCTGTCGAAGATGGACAGTAAAAACACTAGAGTATCACAGCTATGAACATAAAACTAGAATGTAAAACTAAAACAGTGTAATTAAAGAAGACTATACAATATAAAACACAGGCTATAGATCGCCAGCATCTGAAGGTAGATCACCATACTAGGAACCATGGGGACGTACATTACTTTTGCTACCTGCATGGAGCCTAGCTGGATTTACACCATCCCTTCAGCCACTGGTGATGTAGGATAATTTGGCCCACATGAGTTGATGGCATCATGGAGATAGGACAGGGCTTAACAGGAGCGCCAATAAATGCCAGTCACTAAATACCGTTATCTGATGTTTGTATGATGTGACTTCTAATTGATAATGACCCCAGCATGTGTAACCCCAATGCAGATGTTCTTAGCCTATGAATCTCTGGTCTCTCCGGGGCTCCTTTTCAATTTAAATGGGCTTGTTTGTTACTATCAAACTTATATATATTCCAAGACTAAGCATTAGTCTACTGACAAAGCTATACAATGCTTCATGCTACAAAGACTTGAGTTCCTGACCAGGGGAGATAACTCAGATAAATGTATTCTGTGTCTTTTACAGAATGTTTACATTGTAAACCTCACTCACTCACTCACACACTTGGATACATAAGTCCCAAAACTTTCCAAGTTAAATTTAAACTTACCAGATTTTTGTAACATAGTATTTTTGTTCTTTTAAAGTTTGGCTAAATATTTCCTACTGTAGTGAGTCGCCAACAGCTGAAGGGATGGTGTAAATCCAACTAGGGTCTATGCAGGTAGCACAGGCACTGTAAGTCCCCATGGTCACTAGTATGGTGATCTACCTTCAGTTGTTGGCGACATATAGCCAATTTTAATATTGTATTGTCCTTATTTGAAATCCAGTTTTAGAGAGAGATGCTAGTTTTACTTCTTGATACTGTGATATTCTAGTTGGTTTTACTGTCCTTCAATGACAGGTTGTTATAATTTACATGTATTTATGGTGAATTCTAAACTTGTTTTAGTCACGATATGGCTGAAATATTTCCGATGTGACTGTAAATCTTAACTCACTCACTCACACACTGACTCACTCACTCAACCAAGCCGTCAACCATCCACTCAACCACTCGTTAAATCATTCAACCACCCACTTGGGTCTTTAATCTTACTCATACACAAACAAACAAAATGAATAATCAGTCAGTTTTAATGCTCTCAGTATTGATGTTTCACAACAAATAAATGTCAGAAAAGTCACCTTTATTTTCTATGCAGGGGCATTCTATGCAATGAAGGCAGTGTTGTCCTACCACCATGCTCGACAGAAAACACATAAGCGTTTACAGGATACAGACCACTTTCTGGCAGTGCCGTTCGTACAAGTGGCCTCAAACACTCTGTCCAGGTAAAACATGGTGATAACATACCTCTTTTACTGATTTGGTTGGTAGCAACCCATCCTTGATGTATTATATATACCCAAGGCCTGTTCACCACCCGAAACTTTATTTTGAATCTGTTTCACATGTCAGGATGCTAAGAATTCTATCAAGATTAAAACAAATGGCGATATTATCAATTTTTGTTATTGTTCATCATCTCAAATACAACTGGGAATTCTTGACAGCATGAAGACATCATTGTTGTTGTATTTGTACATTGGACAAAAATGCAGTTGTTTCCCTTGGCTGGGTACTGTTGGAGTGAGTGAGTGAGTTTAGTTTTACGCCGCACTCAGCAATATTCCAGCTATATGGCGGTGGTCTGTAAATAATGCAGCCTGGATCAGACAATCCAGTGATCAACAGCATAAGCATCGATCTGCGCAACTGGGAACCAATGACATGTGTCATCCAAGTCAGCGAACCTGACAACCCGGTCCCGTTAGTCACCTGTTATGACAAGCCTGGGTCACTGAAGATCCATTCTAACCCGGATCTTCACGGGTGGGGTACTGTTGGAATATGAATAGCAATTTCATGTGACTGTAATTCATTAAGTTCAAATAATTTGGTCTACATTCTGTTAGCTGCCATGTGAAGACAAGAATACCCCCTTGTTACAACAGACTTTAAAACACCAACACAACGTTTGTTTAATAAGTTTGCCTCTTCATCATGCCAATGTCTGAAATTATAGTGACAATTGGCATGAACAAATGACTAACTTTCATGCCATTTAAGACGATTTGTTGCTTTCAAATGTATATTTATTTGCCATTTCATCGGGAAAGATTCTGCAGCAAACAGACTTTTGTGTGCAGTTGGGCAGTATAATTTACATAATCTCAAAAACCCTTGTTCCAAACAAAAGAAACATTCTCATCTGCAAAGCATATTTATTTTCTCACCCTACATCCCCCCAAAAAGCAGCAGTTCTCTTTTATCCATTGAACAATTATGAACCTACTTGCAGACGTGAGCCTGCGTCTGGTCGTCTGGTTGCCCAGCTGGTGGAGGAGTTCCTCACGTACATGGAGTCTCGGCCGGGATTCATGGTAGATTCTGGTTCACAGGTATGCATGTGTTGGTGTAGGTGTATTCAGTGTGTAATCCAATCTGTATTGGAGGACATCAAGGTATATCTAAGTTTATGTGTCAATACTCTGAACCAATTTATAGACATAGGTCACAGCTTTAAATTCTCAGTGTTTCAACTCATTTTAAAGAGTAGGCTTTATAACATTTGATGAAACTTTAACAAATTGTACCAGATTATTTTTGGAGCAGTGAAGGTAGAGTGTCTTCCTGTAAAGCAGAAGTCAGTTGTTCGGTCCCCAATAAGGTCATAGCAAAAGACCTTAAACCTTTGTACTTGCTACCCTGCCTGCTTCGCATTGGGAGAGAATATCTTTTTCTCATTTCTCTATTTGATCTAGGTCTGTATCAAATAAAACTAAAACATATCAATGTTATTTGCAGCTGTTTAGAAAGCAGGGTCCAGGGCTCCGTTTCACAAAGCTCTCAGCCTAAGATCTCGTAACTTTCCTCGTAGAATTCCTACCTCCTATACTGTAACATTGATTTAGTCGTAGTGCTACGAGAGCTTTTTGAAACGGAGCCCAGATTGACAATGTGTTTGTAATGTTATGAATGATGTTGAGCTACAAACGCTTTGTTGATTGGGACCGTGTGTGAGGACTGAAAGAAAATGAACATGTCCTATCAGCAGACACCATCAGTGATGTTTCCATCATGTGATGATGTTAATGTGACAGAAATGTAGGTTTTTTTCAAATTTTGTTTTGAAGGAACATGCTGATGAAGTGAAAGGATTTATCGATAAGGTGTCCAAACATTTACAGAAGTTGTATCCTGAAGTGGGCAAAACAATAGCCAAGAACTGTCTTCCATCTAAAGGTTTGTATCATGACAACACCAATATCATCCTTTGAAATAGTATGACAATTCAGTTCAGTTTTCTGGGTCATTTACTTCAAATATGTTTTATGTGGGTGAAATGTTGAAACAGTGTGCGAAATAGTTTCCAAATGTTGCTTAGACTAAGCCAGTCAGGCTAGCTATGCTTGAAAGCTACTAGCCCACAACATAATTCAATAGCCTGAAATTTGAATGTAGAAACTAAGCAAAAGATTACAAACAGGTAAATTTCCTTAAAAAAAAAATTACCCCATGAAAATTCAATGGCCAGTGAGGCCAGTGACTGTGGATATTTACTGGCCTGACTGGATTTTTACTAGCCACAAGCCAGCGGGCCATTGGCTATTTCACACATTGTGTGAAAACCTCTTTCCTTAATTCAATACATGGCCTTGTTTGTTTGTTGTTTAATTGTTCCATTATTCCAGTATGACAATGGTCTGTAAGTAATCGAGTCTCTACCAGATGATCCAGTGACTGATATCATGAGCATCGGTCTACACAATTGAGATCCGATGACATGTCAGCCAAGTCATTGAGTCTGACCATCCAGTCCTGGCCCATGTTTAACTGCCTTCAGCACCCAATGCTTGAGGTGATGGGCCTCCATACAAATTGTAGAGATTGACGGTCATGTGGTCAATCACAGGATTGCCTGGTCCAGACTTATGACTCGTGCTGAAGCACCAAGATAGGCCTTGTAACTAATAATTGTTCCAAGCACAAGCACCATACATGCCAGCAGAGTGATTTGCTCTTCTAAATCTCTCCATTCTCTGGTAACAGAGAAAATTGTGGCGACGGAGAAAGGCTCACAAGTGTTGCTGATGGAAGGTCTGACGGAGTTGGTGCGGCCGCTGATCAGGACCATGTTTGTCGGTGAGGCTTCTAATGAGCATAACATATATGGGCTCCAGTATGTCCAAATGCTTCTTATTCATTTCTTGTGTTGGTTGTCAAGTATATATAGTAGACATACAGTGATATACAGACGGACATGGACACTCACAGACACATACAAACACATACAAACACATAGACACAGACACAGTCTCACACAGAGACATGCAGATAGTACACAAACACACAGAACAGTGGAGTTTGGAGAAATGACAGCTGAATTCTGAGGTCAGGGACGAAGAGAATGCTGTTAGGAGCTTTTAGAACTGGCATTGGAATAGAATTTCATGGGTTATCTCCTCTTTTGTTGAGGCCATTCTAAAAAGGGTTTCAATAATAAATGAATTCAATAGTCAAATTCCAAAACTGTCATATAATTATTATATGATCTTCAGCCAATCAGATGTCAGCTTTCAAAAGTGCTATTAAATTAATATCTGTAGTCCCTCAATTCAGATATGTTGATAATAACAAATGAAAAATGCCACAGAACAAACATACAGTTGATAGTGCACCTTTTGCCATGGTCTGCAGCAATAACAGAATGTATGATATATATCAATAACATTGTGTGGGTTTATGTTTCTGCAATAGAAACTCCCAAATTATATTCATAATTGAGGTACAGAAATCAGGCCATGACTTCTCGAAACAAACTTAAGTATAGGTTTTTACTTTGATTTGAGTCTTCAATTTGAGAAAACTGTCATATTTCTTTAAAGAATGTGATTTGACAATTTGAGTTCAGTAGGGAGGTTACCTTAGTGTTTTGTTGATCTCAAAATGGCACTGAGATACAGAAATCAGACATATAGTGCTGAAAGCTTTGCTCATTTATAAGGGACCGTTCATAATTCATTTCTAGGGGGGTGATGATGATTTTTATGGAGAAGCACAATGTAAATGACCCCTCTAAACTTTATGTGCAAATGTTAGTGTCCCCCTGCATGTCATGTACTAAATCATGCCTCCCCTCCAATAATATTTAGCATTATTTATCAATATACTTATGTGCAAAGTTGCTGACCCCCCCCTCCCCCCAGAACAAAACAGGTGACCCCCCTTAAAATCATCGTCACCCCCTAACCATAAATTATGAACAGTCCCTACATCCTTGTTGCCAATTGGCTGATTAGAAAGTTCACCTGTAGCTACACACGAAGGCATCCTCAGATCTTGATCATGAGTGTAACACATCAGAGGGGAAGACTGTATAAATGTGCACAGTTAATAGCATATGTAAATAGAGTGATACTGTCACACAACCAGGTTACCTCAAGATGGATGCATTACTGTATGTGTGGGACCAGTACGTGATCGGGCTGGACGCGGCAGGGTTTGCCACGGAATGGCTGTCTGTTGTCACTGCCACGCTGCTGGGCTTAATGGCGGATAAACTGAAGGAGGCCAAATCGGTGAGCTGTTACAGTGTTTTCCAGTTAACTTTTGATGTTTTAGTTACTTGATAATGGTGATGTTAATTATTAGGCACTGCCATCCTTGAATCTGTGAATCTGTTGAGATGCTGGATTAGAATTGTTCCCCAGCAACCTGTGCTGGTTGTTAGAGGTGACTGAACAGGTTGGGTGGTCAGACTTGGTTGAATTCATGTCATTGTTACCATGGAGATTGCTGCTCATGATATCAGTCACATGTTTGTCCTGACAGTATATACATATATATATATATACCTTTTGGTTGAGTGATTATCCAGAGTATTGTGTCTCCATTGTATTTTCATAAACACCCTGGACCTGGTCCATATTTTAAGTCAGGACACAATGAAAAGACATCCAGTCAAATTACCCTGTCCTGTCCTGAATAAAACAAAGGGTCATATGACTTATGCTTGACTAAAGGAGTTGTCTGGTTGGGTTGTTATTTAACCCCGCACTCAGCAACATTCCAACCATATGATGGCGGTAAGTAAATAATCGAGTCTGAACCAGGCAATCCAGTGATCAACAGCATGAGCATTCATCTATGCAATTGGGATATGATGGTATGTGTCAACAAAGTCAGCGAGTCTGACCACCCGATCGCATTAGTCGCTTCTTACCACAAGCATGAAGATCATTTCTTACCTGGATCTTCATGGATTAGATGAATACTGAGGAACACATTATTACTAGCTAACGTTTAATAGCAGGGTAATTTGATTGGATTTCAAGTCTTCGATAGTTATTTAGTGTGCACTGATACATATATTGATCAAATGTAATGAGAGCTTACTCATATGGGGCTGTGATTTTGAACACATGTAAAACTCTGTGCAGAGTTAACGATGATAAAGATGACAAAAATGTTAGACTGACTGACTGACTGACTGAGTTTGGTTTTACGCCGCTTTTAGCAATATTCCAGCAACATCACGGTGGGGGACACCAGAACAAAATGTTAGACACACTTTAGGACTGTATCATACGTTGCTAACCACTACTTAAGAAATACAGTTCGCTCCACCACCATGTATAGTGTAATAAAGCACACTTTCGCCTTGAATTATTATAGTTAAAGCAGGAGGATGCAAGCGTCCGAGTGCTTTAACGTTATAATAGTTCAGTATCTTTTCTAAGATGCCAAATTGAATACTTTCTAAGGATAATTACGATTAATCTAAGGCAGAAAGAAACGACGGTGTCGGTGACCTAAATTAAGAATCCTCACACAGGGCTAACTGGCGCGCTGTTCTATTGATGTGTCTGCCCCCTACGTTAAGACGAACGTTACCAGAAAATACAAATGATAAACAGTTTGATGACTGTTTACGTTCGGATAAAATATCTTCTCTAAATTATTTTAATTACATCTGTGATTAACGTAAACCATATGGGGCAATATGAACGTCGCATTTCTACTACCAACGTAAGTTTAGATCAGTACATTCAGATGCAGCTGAGTAGTCAAAGCGACATACCACGATTGCATTGTGGGAATGTAAACATTGCGAACGTTACCGTGTCGCTGAAAACTTGTGAGTCGAATTGAGACATTTAAAACATCGGAAAACATAAACGTAATGTTTCCACCAGTGACATTAGCTGCGTGAAGCAACTGCAAACCAAGAAACGGGATGCAACGGAGTAGTTTACTGTAGGAGGCTGTACGAGGCAATGGCAACTGACATGCAGCGTGACGTCGCTTACATTGTGACATAATGCAAAATTGTTCGATTACGAGGGGGCAGACTAGCATGGCATTACAATGTGATGTAATGCAAAAAGTGCACATTATCGTCTCATAAAGTACTGTCGACGCCTTTGATCTTTCACCGAAGCATCTTAGAATGAACTTTATGTGATATTTTCCCATTCGCATACTGCTGATAATGAATGACCAGTTCCCGAAATAATTCATAACATTTTTATTTGAAAACGTAGAAGTGTGTCTCACCCAGGTAGTGACCCTGGTCAGTTTCTGGTCAATATCAATTAAAACTACAAGAACACCCCATCCTGCTCGCTGTAAAATGTTGAATGTTGTTGCTGATGGACATGTCATGTGCTCATTTCTGTTATACTGTTTACATTCTAGTCCACATCCATGGCAAATGCTCTGATAAAGGAATGTCCAAGGCTGACTGTTGCACAGCTCCAGTATGAGGTACGGTTGCTCCAATATGAAGGTGATTGTAGGGCCTGTAGCTCACCTTTACTCCCTGTTTCTTAGTTACTCATATACGGCACCGTTCTGTATTCACACTGTATTTGTTCATTTTGTTCATTAAGATGCAATCAAAGAATAGTTATGTGACATTCTAAAGTATTTGGTTATTGGTTATAATAAACAGATTTTGCAGCAACCTTATTAGTTTATGCAGAATAGGTTTTGTGAAATCCAAAGCTGCTGACTGAGGATAAGATAAGTCCAACAGAATGTTGTCATAGATAAATTACAGTCTAGTTTTGTGAAACTCACCTTGTTTGTTAGCAAACACTTATATTGTTTGATGTTTTATATAAGCAATAAAATAAGACTATATGAACAGTATCAATGAGTCACTTTCAGATATAGTATTCGGGAGAAAGTAAAAATATTTTTCACTTTGAATTTTGAGTAGGCTGTCTCAAACAAAGTGCATTGATCTTCAATTAAGTTGTCTGTTTCTTGGTGTTAGTGATTCTTATTTAGATTGTCTTGTATCTTTTAGGTAAAGAAGCATCACTACAAGGAGCTGTACCCCATGTTAACACGAAACCAGAAGGCAGCCATGCCTGTCCTTGACCCAACACAAGGTAATCTGTTACAACAGTTGTGTCTGACCTTGACCCCTAGAATATAATTTATTCCTTTTGTCTTCTTGGTTTCCTTAACACAAGGCAGTATTTAAGCCTTAACCTTGACCCAACACATGGTAATCTGTTACAGCAGTTGTGTCCCACCTTGACCCCCAGAATATAATTTATTCCTTTTGTCTTCTTGGTTTCCTTAACACAAGGCAGTATTTAAGCCATAACCTTGACCCAACACAAGGTAATCTGTTACAACAGTTGTGTCTGACCTTGACCCCTAGAATATAATTTGTTCCTGTTGTCTTCTTGGTTTTTTCAACACATTTAAGCCTTAATCTTGACCCAACACCAGAAACCGGGTCATAGTAGTCAAGCATGACTAAAAATATGCTACAGTTGTGTCTTGGGATAGATTGCCTGATCTTTCACTCTTATTATTAGATTCCTAACAACAAGATCTGTCAAAAACTCCATAACAAAATGCTTTATGTGAAATCAGCCAAGAGATTGTCAAGTGAAGTATATGGGGCAGCATATGTTATTTCTGTATCTCCAAACTGAATGATCATGGGCAGATCCTGCAGGAGGATGTCCCGCTTCATGTTTGTCAAGTGAAGTATATGGGGCAGCATATGTTATTTCTGTATCTCCAAACTGAATGATCATGGGCAGATCCTGCAGGAGGATGTCCCGCTTCATGTTTGTCAAGTGAAGTATATGGGGCAGCAGATCTTATTTCTGTATCTCCAAACTGAATGATCAAGGGCAGATCCTGCAGGAGGATGTCCCGCTTCATGTTTGTCAAGTGAAGTATATGGGGCAGCATATGTTATTTCTGTATCTCCAAATTGAATGATCATGGGCAGATCCTGCAGGAGGATGTCTCGCTTCATGTTTGTCAAGTGAAGTATATGGGGCAGCATATGTTATTTCTGTATCTCCAAATTGAATGATCAAGGGCAGATCCTGCAGGAGGATGTCTCGCTTCATGTTTGTCAAGTGAAGTATATGGGGCAGCATATCTTATTTCTGTATCTCCAAACTGAATGATCAAGGGCAGATCCTGCAGGAGGATGTCTCGCTTCATGTTTGTCAAGTGAAGTATATGGGGCAGCATATCTTATTTCTGTATCTCCAAATTGAATGATCATGGGCAGATCCTGCAGGAGGATGTCCCGCTTCATGTTTGTCAAGTGAAGTATATGGGGCAGCATATGTTATTTCTGTATCTCCAAACTGAATGATCAAGGGCAGATCCTGCAGGAGGATGTCCCGCTTCATGTTTGTCAAGTGAAGTATATGGGGCAGCATATGTTATTTCTGTATCTCCAAATTGAATGATCATGGGCAGATCCTGCAGGAGGATGTCCCGCTTCATGTTTGTCAAGTGAAGTATATGGGGCAGCATATGTTATTTCTGTATCTCCAAATTGAATGATCATGGGCAGATCCTGCAGGAGGATGTCCCGCTTCATGTTTGTCAAGTGAAGTATATGGGGCAGCATATGTTATTTCTGTATCTCCAAACTGAATGATCAAGGGCAGATCCTGCAGGAGGATGTCCCGCTTCATGTTTGTCAAGTGAAGTATATGGGGCAGCATATGTTATTTCTGTATCTCCAAACTGAATGATCATGGGCAGATCCTGCAGGAGGATGTCCCGCTTCATGTTTGTCAAGTGAAGTATATGGGGCAGCATATGTTATTTCTGTATCTCCAAACTGAATGATCAAGGGCAGATCTTGCAGGAGGATGTCTCGCTTCATGTTTGTCCCTGTTGTTTTTCTTAGAACCAAGGCATCGACACATAAAAGTGTGCACTTTCAGTGGAACATTTGTTTTTTGTGTTGATTTTCTTTTGTTCAGACCAAATTTCTGATTCAGTAACAGAAAGTGATGCTGAAGATGGATTATGTTGTCATGGTTATGAATCGTTTAATAACACTGACATTTGATTACCTGAAAGGTGCACATGTTTCATGGAATTGGATTCAAAAGTCAAGTTTGCTCAGGGTATTCCTAATTTGGTTTTGTTAGACCTCGATGGAAGAATCTAAGATATCTGATTTTAATGAGACTGATAAAATTTGTTCAGTTATGTAACCTGATTTTGTTGAGAACTTCCTCGGAAGATCTGGGTCCGATACTGCTCTCTCATTTTGCATTCAAAGCTAACTTTGAAATAATTTGGGTGCAGATTTTATAATGGCTCTTTGGATGATGTTTTACATTTTGAGACATTTGTAGTCAGCTGTGTGTTTAACAGCGGAACACCCACCATGGCGCCACTGGTACAATGACCTGGTCCCTCCCTACACCAAGCCCCAGGACAGACGGAAGGCCAGGGAGGAACGGGAGGCTGAGAGGGAGAGGTGAGTAGGGTCACTTGGGTGGAGGTTGGAGTGACAACAGAGGTAGATATGCTGCAAGTTAAATATTAAGCAGGGTAGGTAGGTCCAATATTGACAATATACACAACTATTTCAAAAGGAAAAGGTATTTTCTTTTCAGTTTTTGGATGAAATGTTACACTTTGACACTTTAAACTCACCCACCCACCTCCTCTGTCACCCCCACGTCCCACCCAACTTAGCGCCCGCAACTTGGATGAACACAATTACCTTTTTCTTCATTGAAAATACAGTATGTTTATCTGGTAATTCAATATTATTCAATAAACTTGTTCATGGTTAAGGGGTGGTGGAGTAGCCTCATGGTTAAATCATTTGCTCGTCATGCCGAAGACCCAAGTTTGATTCCCCACATGGGCACAAGGTGTGAAGCCCATCTCTGCTGTGATATTGCTGAATTCTGTTATAAGCAGCATAAAACAATATTGCTCACTCACTGATAGTGGTTAAAGTAACCAAATAATGCGGGAGTCATAGTGTGACATACTTTGCTTTGAAACAGAAATTTCTTCTTGCAATGAATTTTTTGTGATGTTAACCATGTATTTTTGCCTGAAATAGTTAATGGGACAATGTCACACCACACTTCTCTAAAATAATAATAATATGCATTTTTCTCAATAATACCAACTATCAGCTCTCAGGGAAGCCACCATATAATGTATTAAAAAAACAATTACATATTTAGATTACAATATTAAATGAAAAAGTTTGATTGAATTAATGTAATGTTTCATTAAATCGACTCTTCTGCCCTCTACCAGCCAAACTTCATTTCAATTGAACACATAGAGTTATGTCCCTTGGATCGCTCTTTCCGAATATCCCACGCACATCTTGTAATTGAAACCAGTTCGGCACCATGTGCGACATTTTTCGATGTACAGAGCAATTGTTTACATTCCATTATATATGGCAGGTGTTTGGAAGCTGTTTGCCTCGAAGTTTCAATTATTGATTTCAGGCAAGTTGTAAGGATTAATTAGTCTTTTATTGCATCAATAGGAAGCTAAAGTGAGTGCATATGCCCCAGTATATGTAATATAGACCAAAATATTGTCGAACATGTGTGACATTGTGCCTTTAAGGTTACCAGATTGCCTTCCAACTTGTGTTTGTGGTTATTGCACACTTTCGATGTGACTGAGACTGTCAGCTTTGCTTGTGACTCCACAGCTGTCTGTCAGCTTGATGCTCAGATCAACCATCTTTCAAGAATCTGCTTCTTCCACCTGAGAGCTATCAGTAACATTTGTCATAATTTAACAACAGATGCAGCCCATACTCTCGTCAGGGGCCTCGTTTTATCTAGACTGGACTATTCAAACAGCATTCTGTTTGGACTCAGCTCTGCACACTTGACAAAACTCCAGAAAATCCAAAACGTTGCAGCCCGCATTCTATCCCTAACATCTAAAAGATCTCACATATCCCCTGTCCTAAAGTCTCTTCACTGGTTGCCCATCCAAGCCAGAATCGAATTCAAGACCTTCACCATTGTGTTCCAATGTCTACATGACCTAGCGCCTCAGTACCTCTCTGAACTCATCTCAGTGTACACACCACCATGACAGCTGAGATCACACCAACAGTTCCTCCTAGCAAAACCCCCTGTTCATCTCAAGAACTATGGTCACAGATCATTCAGCTATGCTGCTCCTTCACTGTGGAACAGTCTTCCCATAACCATCAAAACAGCAAAATCTCTTGACTTATTTAAATCTTCATTGAAGACACATCTTTTCAGGAAATATTACGAATGACTTGTACAATTGCTGCAGTTTTTTAGCTGTACACACGGGGCGCCATGAGCATACACTAGTGTGTGGAAATGGCGCCATACAAATGGACATTATTATTATTATTATGATTATTATTATCAATCCATCAAACGTGTGCTGTTGCCATGCATACAGTGAGGAAGGATGTCATGACTGATCTGTATCATGATCCCATCATGACATCACATGAAATGCATTTGTGTAATGCTAACTTTGTGACTTACTTACTCTTGCATCCTCATCAGGTTGCTACAGCAGCAGAGAGATGCTGAACAGGCCAAAAAAGGACATGGAGGAGAGGGAGAGGAGGTTTGTACAAAAACTGATTCCATTTTTCACAGAATTGGTTTACGTTGAAATGTACTAAATGTCATATTGATTGATTGTTGTTTAACCTCGCACTCAGAAATATTCTGGCTATATGACAACGGTCTGTAAATGATCGTGTCTGGACCAGACAATCCAGTGATTAACAGCATGAGCATCGATCTTCGCAATTGGGATACGATGACATGTGTCAACCAAGTCAGCAAGCCTGACCTCCCGATCCCGTTAGTCGCCTAGCATGGGTTACTGAAGATCAATTCTAACCTGGTTCTTCATGGGTTTATTAAATGTAGAGTAACAGTGTCTGTATACATGCTTAATGGTGTGTTATAGGGAGGATGAGGATGAGTTTATGCGAGCTGCTGCAGCTGAAAGAACGCGAGTGGAGCAGGAACGCATTCAGCTGGAGGAGCAGCTGTTTGAGGTGACTCTATTAATCTTAAAATTCTCTCCAAATTCCAAACATTAAATCCTTCTTTAAAAATGTTTTAGATTATGAAGAAGGTTATCATTTGTGTTTCTTGGATGCTCTCAAAATATCACTTGATCTCGCACAAGATGTCTTATGGTCTCGTTTAAGATATCAAATGGACTCACTCAAGACATTGCTCTGTCTCACCCAAGATATCATGTGATATCACACAAGATGTAATTTTGCTGTAATATCTCTTTTGACAATGTTTCTTGTCTGTTGACTGCAGGAGAGACGTCAGCGCATGGATGGTGAGCGGCAGGCCCAGGACGAGATCGAGAGGCTGAAGATGGAGATGGAGGCCCTCAAGAGACAACAGAAGCCTGTATGTATTTCAGGATGTATTCTGTGGAGGAAGTTGTCTCTGTGGCATTTCAGGCACTCTAGACATATGTTTTGTAAATCTGTTAAATATATGATTACATTTGTGGTTGTGTGTGGTCTTGTGCATAGAGGTCACCCGTGAAGATCCGGGTTAGAATGTACCTTCAGTAACCCATGCTTGTCGTAAGAGGCGACTAACGGGATCGGGTGGTCAAGCTCGCTGACTTTGTTGACACATGTTATCGGTTCCCAGTTGCGCAGATTGATGCTCATGCTGTTGATCACTGGATTGTCTGGCCCGGATTCGATTATTTACAGACCGCCGCCATATAGCTGGAATATTGCTGAGTGCGGCGTAAAACTCAACTCAATCAAGCATAGAGGTCACAAATCTCAAAATTAAGCAACACTGGTCATGGAGAGTCCTTCGATGCATTTCTAGGACTTCTGTCCTGCCCTACAATGAAGCACATGTGACACGTTTGGTCTCACCTTAGGCAAGTGAGTTTCTTCAAAGTTGCCTCTGTTCACCCGGCAGAAAATGGGCACGCGGGGGATAAGTCATGTGACTATTTACCATCTAGTGCTTCACAGAGATCGGGTTATCTGGGGTAATTATGTTCATTATGCTGTAATTATTATATGTGATTTTGTCTTTGACTGAGAATGAAGATTTACATTATCATTTCACAAAAGTGAAATACAAAACTATATGGTATAACAGATTGTATTTATAGCTGATAAGATGATATGGACACAATCTACAATCTTTGGAAGCCTCATTTCATTTTCTTACCTGGTAATTCTTTTCTTTTCTTTTTTAAAAAGAAACATGAAGTTATATGAATATTTATTCATAATACATTATGACACTTTGTTATCAACTTCAGCTGTAACTGGAATGTGGTTTGCAAAACAGGAAGTTGAAATAATTCTGATGAATTAAAGCTGTTCGAACATTGGTTTCAGAAATCTCCTGCACCTTCCATGTACAGTATTGGATCATACATGAGGTAAGTTGTTAGGAAAATACCCTGTTACTAAAAGGTCATTTAGTTGAAATGCACTTGTCACAACCATAAATTATTTGAATACACTGAAGGAAATCTTTTTCAGTCGAGTCTTACTACCTCCCCCACCGACTCCTGCCTCCCATGTGTCTTCCCTTCCCGTCATACATGAGGTCTCCCCCCGCACCCCATCTCGCCAGTTGACCCCCGCAGGGCATGGGGAGAAGGCGGTGATCGACTTCTTGACCAAGGTCAAACGGAGCATGAACAGGAGTGAGTACATTTCGGTACAGAATGTTTTAGTGGTTGGAAGGGTTATACCCCACTTTGCCGGACAGCTGATGTGATGATAACGAATTAAGAGTAACGGTCCGCTAGTTTGCCGGCTATAGTCTGTTTTCAGTGATTAGTTGTCACCTATAGTCATTTGGGGGACATGAGCCTTTGGCAGACTGAGTTCAAACTCATTAATTACAAGGCACCAATATGTTTTGAGTGAACTCGATTTCTAGTAACTGATTTTAGTTAAATCGAATTATATTAGCTGAATTGAGTGAAGCTTATTCCAATGATTATTTCTGAAGTTGTGCCTGTATATAGAGAATGTAGACATGGTTCGCTCATTGCAAAATGGCAAACGCTCAAGTTAACATTCCAAATTCGAGGGGAGGTAGGTTGACACTTAATCTATCTAGGTCACAACTTTAGGGTTAAGAGCACAAAAAGGGACCGAGTTCATTTGAAATGTTGTAAGACAGGTTGTCCTGCAACGGCCCACACCATCAGTGATGTTCTCAGCAGTTCCAGGAACACACACAACCACCATCAAGATCAAGTTCAGTTCAGAAAATAGTTATGCATATTTATTTATGTCTTCAGTTACCATTTTCTCTTTTCTGAAAATGTACGAAATATGTATTTATGAATTTTATCATGAAGATAAAATGTACCAAAAATGTTGAATTGGTGAAATATGAAATATCGAGATGAAGCTACAGTGTGTACTTTCTTAGGCCGAAACAGACTATAAGTTAATACCCTATTGTTTAAAGGATTATCATGCATCAGTGAATTTTTATCTATAACACGAGCGTCCGGCAAAACAGGAACCCCCCGTTGGAAGTAACATTTTGTTTACATAGCATAATATGGTGGCCAAGTGGTTAAAGTGTTTGCTCATCATGCTTTGAGATTGGGATTGATTCCTGACAATGTGTGAATATGTCCTTGACGTGATTGTGCTGGAATATTGCCAGTACAGATGTAAAAGGCATTCTCAATCATTCAGTGGGAGTGGGGTGTCAAATGCATCCACTCTCCCACTCAATCAGACATCCATCAACTCACTCACTCATCCACCTACCCACCCACTCACTTACCTACTAACCCACCCAAACCCACTCACTCACTTACTAAGTCACTCATCCACCAACCCACTGTTTCACCCACCCACCCACCCACTCACACATCCAGCCGCCCATCTACACCACTCTCATTCATGCATCCAACCACCCACTCACACATCCAGCCGCCCATCTACACCACTCTCATTCATGCATCCAACCACCCACTCACACATCCAGCCGCCCACCTACACCACTCTCATTCATGCATCCAACCACCCACTCACACATCCAGCCGCCCACCTACACCACTCTCATTCATGCATCCAACCACCCACTCACACATCCACCAACCCACTGTTTCACCCACACACCCACCCACTCACTCCCAGTCACACATCAACCCACGTACACCACTCACTCTCAGTCACACATCCACCCACCTACACCACTCTCATTCATGCATCCAACCACCCAGTCACACATCCACCCACCCACTCACCCACTTACTCCTGTGGTAAGTGCCCCATGCTACACACGCCTATGTGGGGTGGTGGGGTAGCCAAGAGGTTAAATAGTTGGCTCACCACGCTGTGAACCGGGCTATTATTATTATGCTAATATTTGTATGGCACCAATATCCAGCTCAGCTGCTCAAGGCGCTTTGATATTCCCTCGGTCACTGGATGTCAAACTCAAATAGCACATTGTATTATCAATCTCAACTCCCTGGGGAACATACAACTTGCAGGTTCTATTCCCCATATGGGTACAATGTGTGAAGCCCATTTCTGGTGTCCCCTGCTGTGATATTGCTGGAATATTGCTAAAAGCAGTATAAAACCAAACTCACTCACTCACCCCCTATGTTAACTGTGCTGTATGCCTTATATATCCAGTTGCCCATGGCGAGGGAGATGAGGGTCAAGAGCTGGATGAGGAGACGGAAGGCTACATCAGACAGAATGTGGACGACCTCAAGAGAGCTCAGGTAAATGTGCAGGATGACAGTACACACTTATTTATTTTTAAAAATTCTTTTGATCAGGAAGGTTTACATAACAACACCATTGGTAGACAGTAGAGTCTGATATTTGTGGACTATGTCTTGACGTACTGTCCTTCAGTCTTCCAACAGAGGACACTTCTTGAATGGAAAGTGGTCTCTATCCACTCTATTTCCCCTCTCTTTTCTGTTGAGAATGTAAAACATCACCAACAAAACATCATCACAACAGTCATAACCTACTGTCTGTCAGACAGACTTTAACTTTAGTTACTTGTCAAGTCACTTGTTAGTGGTTTGATCAGGCCAGTCAACATGTCATAACATAGTGTTTAGGCCAGGATACAGAATGCGACATCTGTGTCATGTTTGTGTGTGTGTTTACATTTGATCTTATGACTTTAGGCTGAGATTTACTTGAAACAACGAGGAATTCAACACACTCTAGTATGTAAGCTATGTGATACTGTAATTGTCTTGTTTCTTTCTTGCCGCACTCAGCAATATTCCGGCTATATGGCGGCAGTCGGTAAATAATTGACTCTGGACCAGACAATCCAGTGATCAACAGCATGAGTATCGACTCACACAACTGGGACACAATGACATGTGTTAAACAAGTTAGCTAGCCTTACCGCCTGATCCCATGCATGAATGCACTGAGGAAAGCTCAGTTAGCTCTATGTAAGCAAATGGAAGCACCTGCTCAATATACATGTATGTTTTAAAGTGGTAACTAATGATATCTATGTTACTAGATGGAGGTGTTTGGTCACCGGCTCAATGCTGGAGAGTTTGAGCACATGAATCCACAAAAACAGCAGGAGTCCAGTGACAAGATGATGAAACTCATACAGAAATGGAGGGAGGACCGACGGGCCCGAGAGCTGGGGGGTGCCTCGGTAGGGGTGCCTCTGTGGTTAGGGGCCCAAGAGCTAGGGGTATGGGAGCTAGGGATGCCTCTGTAGGTGTGTGTGTGCCTGTAGCTGGTGTGTGTGTGTGTGTGTGTGTGATGTGTGTGAGCTGAGTGTGTGTGTGTGTGTGTGTGTGTGTGTGTGTGTGTGTGTGTGTGTGTGTGTGTGTGTGTGTGTGTGTGGGTGTGTGTGAGGGTGTGTCCGTGTGCTTGGTGTGTGTCGATAAGGGGGTTGGTGAAATTCGGGTGCCTCAGTAGGATGGGACAGGTGGGTTAGGGGGCTTAGGGTGCCCTGCCAGGGACATTGGAGTGAGGGGTATATGAGCTGGGGGTGCCCCGGTAGTGGGGGTCCAGGAGCTAGGGATGGGACTGGTAGGTCAAGAGGCCTGGGGTGCCTTGGTAGGGGACAGGGGGGAATGGGCGCTAGGGTTGGGACTGGTAGGACAAGGGGCGTCACAAGCAAAATGGAATCACACAATTACCTGCTCTTTAACTGTAAAAAAACATGATGTCAAATGACCTCTATGACAAATGATAAACTGGATAGGCAATGTAGTGCTAGTCCCTTTCATCATGTATTCATGTTCATATTTACTGTACAACAACAGGGTCTGTATATGCAAAAACTATTTTGTCTTGAGTCTTGCTGGCGAAATATCTAAATGTACTCTTCCTAGAAAATTAGAAAAGGCATTCATGGATGTTATTGCTTCCTGGAAAGTATAGTACATAAATGGTATATTGTAGGGCTGTAACGATTCACCTGCATATTCGAAGAATCAAACCATATCCCTTCATAAATTCAATTTGCTATTCATGATTGATAAATCAGATATTGATGAATGCTTTGCCTGAGAGGAGTTTATTTTATTCGAGTTATTTATCATGGTGAGATATACAAAATGGAATATATTCAAGCCAGGCAGGATAATAGTCATCAATCTTATACATTTTATTTGTCAGTGATGTGGTCACGGTTAATGGTGGTGATGAATTAATACTGTCTAAATAGGCAAAACATGTCAAAGAATATATTTTGTAATTGTTCACTGAATATTATCAATATTACATCAACTACTGACTTGAAATTATAGTATTCATTACCCACTATTCGTTACCAATATTTGTAATATGTATCATATTCAGCTCCGAGTCGGATAGTGGATTTGTTGCAGCCCTAGTCTCTTGCTTCTCTTTTGTGCTTGATGTAGTTCTATTTCTGAAGATTCTGATGTATGTAATATTGCTTGAAATTTAATACATTTTCTTAAAGACTGGTGAAGCAGGTTCAATATCTAAATATCTTGCTTACTGAAAAATCTAGTAGGAAAAGGATATTTTGCTGCTCTATTTTGAAAGATGTGTACAAGTATTTGTAAGATTCTGAGGCATGTCAAGGGCAGGTAACTCTAATCATTCCAATTGACATGACTCCATGTGCATCTATCATAGAATATATTTATTTGCATTGTTTGTAACATACTGAAAATAAAATAAATAGTCACATTGTTTCAGTTGTCAAGCTTGTTAAATACTGTTCCATTCTGTGATATAGATACTGCTGAAAGAATATACCATGGCGAATACATATTCATATGAATTGTTTCTTTATGCTCATTATTTTCATGTATGCATTTTATGACTTGGGTCAAACTATTTTATGTTAAAGTTTATAAAATGTTATTTCCTCTGCCATAATTTCTATAAAAAACATATTATTATTGTAAATACATATTAATATTGTAGTAAATATTATGTTCATGTTATCATTGCCATAATTTATGAAAATATTTTATTCAAAAGAATTAATTGCTTCCACAGTCCTTGTTATGTGAAACTGTCATCAGTTGGTTTTGCCCATCTTGTTGATACAGATTGTATTTTCATCACACTGCTGTTTTCACTTTTTACGTTGTTTCAATTTTTGCCAAAAAGAAATGTCCACATAAAGTGGGAAACAAATTTATTAGCTGGAAATGCTGAATATGTTACATATTGCTGTACCATTGAGATTTAATGGTGATGTTTATGTTATCTTGCATTCCGTCCACTCTGACCCAAAGTACCTCAAATTCAATATTCCTAGGCCAAAATAACAATGGAACTCAGTTCTACCCATTGATATTGATTGTGAGTTACTTTGACACTTTGTTTTATTGTTTCTTATTGCCTCACTCAACAGTATTGGTGTAGTCCTGTGCATAAAGCTCAGGTCACAAATAAGTTGAAGTTAAGCAACACTGGGTGCAGAGAGTCCTTAGATGGGTGACCGTGTTTGGCAGCTTGACTCCTGAGAGTTTCTAGGACTTCAGTCCTGCCCCACGTCGAACCACATGTGATACATGCGGTCTCACCTAAGGCAAGTGAGTTTGGTAAAAATTGCCTCTGTTCACCCAGCAGAAAATGGGTACCCAGTGGGATAAGTCATGTGACTATTAACCTTCTCACGGGCAGCTTGGGTGATTTGGGGTAATAATAATCAGATTGTAGCGCTTTGAGCGTGCCCCTCCATGGTGCAGAATTCAGCGTATTACAAATGCCCTTATTATTATCATAAATGCTGTATCATGGCAATCCATAAATATTGAAGTCATGACCAGACAATCCAGTGATTGATCTTGTGATCAGTGATAGGATACAAAGACACGCTATCAACCGAGTCACTGACACCAACACCCTGATCTTTTTGGTCGGCATTTAAAGGCAGTATAAATTGCTGGGAACCTATGTTGACACATAATCTCCATATGGTTAATAGACTTTGGTTTTTGAGATTTTAGAGGACACAAATTCATAGGTGGAGTTGTAAGAAAACAATTGCTTTTTGTTGTGACGAATTTTAAGAAAATTATAAATCATGTATTTTTAGAATCACTGCATTACTGAATTATGACAGTTCAAATTGTCGGGGGAGGTGGTTACACAGGTTTAAATTGTATCTTTACAAGATATTTATTCTTTCATGAAGCTAAGTGAAAAAACATAGCCAAAAATTTTAACTAAATTCTAACTGGGATTGTTTTATTTATTTATGATGCAAACAGATTGTTTTTGTTGAAAAATTCAATTTACAATATTGCATTATGTCTTCATATACATGAATAAAGTTGATACATATATTGGAATCTCCTGTGCTTACTGTTTTCAAAGTATTGTTTGATACATATACTACGCAAAACAAGTTAGAGAATACCCACAATTGGAAGGCTGTGTATTGCCAGGGATACTCTACAACAGGGATAGGTCACTCGCTTGCTTTCTTTACCATTTGTACTAATTAGCGTGTGCCTCGTCAAGCTCCAACGCACACAGTAACTTGGTTCGTTCCCAGCGCAACTTCCGCTGTGTTTAACAGTCCTTCAGCCAGTGTATTGTATCAGTCGGAATTTTACAATGAATGAATGAATGAATGAATGAATGAATGAATGAATGAATGAATGAATGAATGAATGAATGAATGAATGAATGAATGAATGAAGAGCAAGAATTATATGTGAATGAACGAAAGAAATAAAGAAAAAGAACAAAAGAAAGAAATACATATGTGAATGAATGAAAGAATAAATGATACACCACGGCCATCCCTCCCCAAACATGTTAAAGAACGCAAAACTATCGGTAGAACACATGTGTTTACATCAGCTGTCCTTTTTTAATGGGGATAAGATGACGTGTAAACCAGGTCAGTGAGTCTGACCCCTGTATCCGGCTAGTTGCCTTTTATGCAACGTATGTGGTGGAGATTGGTCTGATGTTTCACATTATTAAGCAACTTGACTCCAGAGAGTTATAGGGCTTCGGACCGTAACGTTGAAAAGATCATTGTCACGAGTTCAATAAATAATGAAACTTAGTGAAAATTGGTGAACTTTACTTCAAAACACAGCTGTTCACATGCATGATGTTTGCACATGCTTTTCAGCAATTTGATGCATGATCCTCATGCAATTCATCTGCATAAGGTTTGCAGTTGGTTCCCCCAGGTGAGTGGAGAACTTCATCTTCGATGTAACCGTATATACATACATAAGATATAGTGAATGCTATAAGTGAGTCTAAACTTTTGATGGGTAGTATATATGTGTGGTGTCATCTCCTTGTACAAGTCACTCAGTTCTGAATATGCCTGTTCACCTGACAGAGAATGGGTACCCTGTATGATGAAATGATAGCTGTGACTGGCAGCTTTGTACTGTTCCACGGGTATCTTGGGCTGTATACTCCCCAGGTAGCTGAGAATGATAAGTGAGTTGCACATTAAAGGGCCACTGATCCAGAGCAATTTCCATGGACTGGTTGTTGCTTTTGTTATTGTTTTTTTCCAGTGGGTACCCGGATGATATCCCAGAATTCATGACTGGTTTGTTACCTCTGCTGTGCCACCCTTACGCGCAACTGTTAGTATAAGTATAGACTGATCAACAAAGATAAAATCTTTTTTACTCGATAATTTTATGTTGATTTTGTTGTAAAATTATGTAGACTTTGATGAATAATTTGGTTTCTTATAAAAAATTATTCACTTTGATAAAAATGCTGAATTTGATGTAAAATTTGGATTTCATAGTAATGTTGACTTTATAAAAATGTTAACGTAAATGGATGTAGAATTTGATTTAAGAAATAGTTTGACCTTGAATTTGGTGAGAAGCCTGATATAATAGCATTGTTTTGAAAGTAAGGCTAACTAAGTACATGGGGAGTCTTTGGGAGAGTAGTGAGCTTGGGTTCACAACTAGTCGATCTGAATGTTGTATTAAATGGCATAATTTTGATAACAAATGAAAACATTTTAAGTTTAACCATCTGCCAGTGGTAATAAATGTTAGGACTGAAATAACGAAGTCAATGTACGTCTTTATATTTTGTCTGATAATCCTAATTAGTTTGTTATCATATTTGTAAGCATTTTTAAGCTTAATAAAATGCACACGATCTGCTTATATTTAGTGAATTTATAACATGACTGTAATATCTAGACATCTTATAGATTGCCAACGTGCATCATATTTCACACAGACGTCCTAAGTGACCTAGTGTATGTTGTCTGTCTCATTACACTTCACGGCCAAAAAAAATGAGTCTGTTGGATGCCATAACAAATAAATAAAAACAAAATGCAAATATTAAAATTAAAACAGACCAAAGTTATAGCAACAATATCAGGCCATTACCTTGTTCGGGGGAATGTATCCATTAATATCCACATAAAGGAATGAGATGTCATTCATCTGCAGCTGACAAAGTATCCTGTTCCATGTCATGTGTCTTTTAACAGTCTAATATCCGAAAAAGTGATCTATTGTTTCAGGTTTTTCACATTGGTGTATAGTCCCATTGGTCACCCAAGATAGCACACCTGGCAACTAATTGCATGATTTCCGCCATTCTTTAAAAAAAGTAATTTAGTTAGCCAATAACGAGCAATCAATCAATGTATTGGCGGTTAATCCTTTGAAGGAAGGACGTTGTTTTTACAATGAGACTTTACGACAGGGTGTATTCAGTATAGATTAGTAAATCTACATACATAAACACTACCTTTTGACAAATCCGCTGTGCAGGATAAAAGCAATTAATCAAGCAGCGTGTTATCGGTTAATCCTATGATCAATGTTTGTTTTGTAACTCAGCTGATAATTTCTCTTACTGCACTTCCATTTGCATATTACATAAGATGTAATACATTTGCCACATCAGACCTCAATTTCTAATGATGAGTACTTACTCCAGACACAAGAAATGGCAAATGGGAACCTTTGTCGAGTAATCTGAGTGGTGTTATCACTAATTATACATGTTATAAATTCATTAACCTACCATCAAGTGAATGATGACAAATAACATGTGTAGGTTCACCACCAAACAAGGGTTACAGCAAGAGAGTAGTAATCGCTGTATTGCATGCAAGTTTGATTGCCTGAAAAACAAAATTATGGGCCAACACTGTTTTGAGGATACGAGCAGAACTTCATTGTTACATAAAAAAATATATATAAGCATTTGCTGTGTACTTAGTTAAAAACTGTATATACCAATGTACCTAAGTAAAATTTCAGATTTTGTTTGCAATGGCATTGTGGGGTTGTTTAGTTTATGGATTCAAGTATATCAAATGTGTGTTTTTGATATCATAGCATACGTAATAGACATCATGTTTTTACATGATTAAATATCAAGGTAAAAAACACAGAAGCAGGATCAAATTGGATCAGTCACCATACCATCCAAACATTTAAAAATCTGAAAAGGCCTACACTGCTGGGATACTTTATTACAATCAGACAAGAGCTACCAGGGTATTTTCCAAGTAACGGCATCTGATGGGCATGCACCCTTCCTAATGTCCCACTGATTAGGTTGAAGAAATTCTGCCAAGGTGGACAGTAGCCCAGTCCCTGTGTCTGTCATGGTCGAGGGAGCAAGGGCTGACCAGTTTGCAGCTAGGTTTCGTAATTAGACTGTTGGCTGGAAACATTAATCGCTCTGGATCAGTGGCCCTTTAACCCACTGACCAGAGTTACATACTAACGAAGCCCAGTAGTAATTCCCATATTGATTGGATTCTGGCAAACAGACTCTTTATTTGTTTTTCAAACAAAGTTTCCATTATTGTTATTGTCTCTTCTTCTTAAGTTATTTTACAAATTAAAAAAAGAGGTATAGTCATACATATTGGATTTGAACCGAAAAATTACCAACCAGTTTAACTGTGCAAGTAACTGAATACAAAAATGCTGCAGTTGCCTCTGCAGTTGTCTCCCTCTAGTTTACACTGTTGATGCAGCTCCGCGTATCAAATACATGAATAAACATGAGCCCAGTCTATATTTTACGGAAATATATCCGGAGATGAATTGTTGGAAAGACGTTATTGGAATTAGACAACAAGAAATCACTGATTATAGCTACAACTTCATGACATACTGTGACAGCGACATTTCAGTAAATTGTTTGATTATAATTACTAAACTGGTTAACACTTTGAGAAGCGCTTGATGTAACTTCCGGTTTTGTAAACTGACTCCTGGCTTCCTATGCGCGCCGTCAGCTTGCACTATGCATGTTATTTTACGATATCAGAGACGGAGCCCTGGGCCCACTTGCACAGAACGATCTTAGCGCTACAATTATTGTAAATCCATAAGATCGCGATCTTAGGCTTCGGCTACAATCGCCATCGACTTGCACAAAGCGATTGTAGGCTAAGATCGTTGTAAGTTACAATCGAAACTTACAATTGGTCCGGACCAATTGTAAGGAGCTAAGATCATTGTAGTCTGTGACAAAATGGTGTTCAAGTTTCACGCAAATAATCAGCTTTACGTTTGGAGATTGCTATTATATTGCATAAAACTGTACTGTATGATTCGCCTCGACACTTCAACACGGAGAATGCACAACCGATTTAACGTCGGATACATTGTTATTTGCTGTAGTGAACCACAGAACTATCGAGTTGATATCACAAAGTACTATTCCCTCCCGATTCAATGTTGGAATAAGAGTGAAACAACATACCTTTTTGATAATCAAGGAAGGATACTAGCAAATGGTGTCTGCGTGCGATTAACAATGGCCGTGACCTTTTCATTAACTCAAGAGCAGATAATTTTAGTTTATGGGCAAGATGGGAGTGGTTTCCCCTTGCCTATGCCGTTGCCGTAGAGTCTGTCATGCCCAATCGCAGAGCTCAAGATATTTTCTTTTCGGTGATGGAGTGATTTTGTCTTAGTTAATCATTAAAGTAATCAAAAATTAGATACAAGTTAACGTGCAAAATCAAGATTCAATTTAATTTCACTTTTAGAAAAATATTTATCAACGCAATAGGGTCATATCATTAATATACTGTGAATGAGTATTTAACAACTGCTCTCTCGATATATTATTTGATATTCGTATTTCCCTGTCATGAATTCTTTACAACACTTCTGTAGCCATATTACATTTTCTTGTTATATTGTGAGAAAACCAATACTTCTAGGGTATATTTAGGATTTTACACACACAAAAAAAGAAGGAAAAAAAACAGCTGTGCATTAAACAATGTCTCATTGACAACCAGTGGCAAATCATGCATTTAGGTGTTATATCATAAGTAAATATTGTCGATATTTGATATATTATTATAATTTTCATCATTATTAAGTCACTAAATCTAGACCCAAATTTATGAATGCATTTTTTCGCAGTTCAATATTTTCATAAAACATGGGTAGGTATTTCCGTGGTTGAAATATCACATTCTCAGTTCATAAATCAAGACAGTTAAAATGTAGAAAAATATATGCTATCGTCCACGTAATCGTTTCCTTCGAAGATTTCTAGGAATGTTTTTCATGAAAATTCTGCAAAGTGCGATTGAGGGAGGTATGTATTGTGTTCAGGGACCAGTATCACTCTCTATTTGCGCAGTATGCTATGCGCACTTGCAGACAACTGTAGACAGGAGTCGAGTTTAAGAAATTCGCACCTCCACCATTGAAGAGTGCGATCTTAGCTAAGATCGCGATCTTAAATCCATGCGGTCTTACAATCGCGCTAAGATTGGCTTTGTGCAAGTGGATGAGGGCAATTGTATGGTGATTGTAAAGTTGATTGTAAGGCCCTAAGATTGATTGTAACTAAGATTTCTCTGTGCAAGTGGGCCCAGGTCGGCATCAACCTTAACAATTGTAGACAGGCATCCAGTCACATCACTACGTTTGCGCAACGAAATTCGTCACCACTCGCCCCTTTCCGTAACCTCGGTATTCGGCTTGTCCCGGAATAACACGAGTTGGTCACGAATGCGATGGACCAGGAAACTAGAAGAGCGGTAAGTAAAGCTCACACTTTTCGATTTTGCCGAGTTATTCTGAATTGTTTAAGATTTTTGTATAGACCAACGTATCACATAAGTATCTGAGAACGTTTTTGCATGTGTATAAATATCAATAGATCGCGAATCGACTAGAATATTGGCAAAATGGAAACATGTATACCGATCTAAACTGATGGTGTTTGTAATAGGGGATTCCCCGGTTTGTATAATGGCTGTACATACTTCCCTGAAGTTGAGCGCGACTTGTTGATTTGATTTCTGTTCAGAACTAATAATGGCTGATAAATGTCTGTTTGTTCCTCCTCGTACATTTTGTCCTTAAAGGGGCCTCCTTATATTCTACTTTTATAATTCTACGGACTTTTGGGTGAAACCTGTGACAAGCTAGTGTTGCACAACTTCAAATTCAATCGCCATGATACAAAATGCAGCGATTTCGATTTAATCATGATTATGTCCGTGTCGAATAGCTAAGTGCATTATTGGTTGGTGCCAACGCTTGATTTCATGTTCATGCCACTCCCATTCCACCAAAGCCTGATGTGACAGTTTGTCAGGCATTCTACCACAATGCGCCCCATTTTCCAAAACAACATGATTTTAACAGATTTGACTAGAGTATTGTTTGTAGAAGATATTTATTTTTTTGTTTCCATGTAAATATTTAAAAAAAATAATTTCCTGTCGTAGTATGATATAATGAAGGTTTTTATGTTAATGGCTTTATCATATGATCATGTGAGAGGGGATTCCCCTGTACATGCTGAGGTTAACCTCACTGTGTGTTAGACCAGGGAGACTCTATGTTGTAGAGTATCCCTGGTTAGACACATAAAAAAGCCCTGTAGCCACTGATAGCATTAGGCTTAAATGTACACATGAATTTACATATTTTCATGAGTAAGCAAAAACATTATTTTCCTTCTCACATGTCACATGATTGTTACTTTTTTTGTATATCTTTGTTCATTTTGCAGATTTATGTCAGTTAGGTATACTTGTTCTATTTTTACAAAGTGAAACAATTTCAATTTAACTATGATGAGCTTCCCCTTTAGCTGAAAGTCATTTGATTTTTTTCAGGAAATGGATCCAGTATTACCGGGTTTTCATGAAAGTATCGCACAACAAGTGATTGATGATAGAGATGGACAGAACTCCAACTTTAATCTCTTGAAGCAGAAAATTGTTCAAGGTAACAAAACTATGACAAACATGTTCATGAGACATATTGTTTTGGCTAGGTTCCAGTTAGCATTAAGTGATTGAACTTTAAAAATGATATACAGTCAAATCCCGATGAGTCGAATGCCGGTGTCTCGAATATTATGCATAACTCGAAGTACCTGTCGGTCCCGACCATTCCCTGTTATAGTTGTCATCATTTGATTTCCGGTTACACGAATTCGTCTCATAAATACACACGATGACTCGAGAAGGAAGTTTGGTCCAATGAGATTCAAACAACAGCATTATTGTATACATAAGCCGAAATCAGTCAATGAGAATTTGATTGGTGTAGCAAACTGATCCAATTAACAAACCAGCGCTGCTCACACCTTTCCGCCATTGACAGGTGAGTTCAAAAGGCAGATTAGTGATTTTACGGAAATCACTGTCTGTCCTAATCAGACTGGAACTGATAAGGTGCCCCTATTAGTGATAGGGAAATCATTACATAAACAAATGCTTAGGTGGAGGAATTAGGACTGGATCATCTTTTTTTCTACCCTCATAGACATACCTGTGTCTCGAATACATCGATAAGTCGAATTTATTACTTGGTCCCCAGCGATTCGACTCATCGGAATTTGACTGTATACAAAGTCCACAAACTTTCCTTGTCCCTGGTGTGTTCCAATTTCAACTTTCAGTTTCTGTAACAGACATTCCATATCATACCATTGTTTTGACTTTTTTGGTGTGTTTCATCTCTTTAATGTTATGATAAACTTTAGACAGCCTTGTGGTTAAAGCATTTGCTTGTGTCACAGAAGACCTGGGTTCAGTTCCCCCGTGGATACAATGTGTGAAGCCCATTTCTTGTGTCCCCTGCCGTAATATTGCTGGAATATTGCTAAAAACAGAGTAGAAGTAAACTCACTTACTCTAACACTTTTTCTGACAGAGGTGTTTCTTTTCTCACAGATGATGATGGGCACTTCCCAGATGATATCTGCTTCCCAGCAGGGAAGACAGGGATTCAGAATGTCACCTCCCCTGATCCAAATGGACCCTATAAACAGGTCATGCAGGGGAAGCGTATTGTGCAGCAAAACCAGGACCCGAGGAAGGAGGAGTTCCTGTTTGCAGGAGACCAAGAAGAGGAGTCTGTCCCAGACACGTTGGAGAACTTAAACGTGAGACCAAGGGGAACTATAGCGGAAGCCACAGTAGTGAAAAGCATCACTATCCTCAGTGATCGCAGCAGTTTCCATGATGTGAAAGATATCAGGGTCATGGTCAAATGCAGCGTGGAAGAGGAGAGTGTTGATGTTTACAATGACTCACAGTAAGTACGGTCATCCTGTGTATATCCAGGGCTAGCTGGTATTTTTGTAAAACCTTGGATTCATACTTATAGTTCTTGGGATCACAAATTACCTGCCCTTGATTTTCACTATCATTTTACTGAAAAATCAAATGTCAATATAAGAGAAAAGAATGCGCATATTCGTATTACCCAGAAACCAAAGCCATTGTCAGTTTGTCAGTTTTTATGAACCCATTATTTCCATCCATTGGCTACCAGTTAGGGCCAGAATTGACTTTAAGATCCTCTGTCTGACATACAAGTGCCTCCATGGTTTGGCTCCCTCCTACTTGTCTGAACTCCTACATCCGTATGTCCCCGCACGCAACTTGCGCTCAAACACACAAAACCGACTGGTCATCCCATCCTACAAACTGAAATCCTTCGGACACCGATCATTCTCTTACTCCCATGTGCCCTTAAAAGCTCTGCCACAATTGACATTTTTCAGTCCAGACTTAAAACGCACCTTTTCTCAGTATATTATGTATAACTTCATCTGTAAATACTCCAGTGTAAATATTCTGTAGCGCTTTGAGCATGCCTTAGGGTGTGGAAGGGGCGCATTATAAATATGCATTTATTATTATTATTATTATTATTATTATTATCATTATATCCAAATTGTTTCAGGGCCTTCTTTAGCATGTCTCTCAGTTAATCTAAACTGATTTTCTCGCAAGCTCTATCATAATCAGTGGGACTGGATGCAATGTTGTTGATATTGACAACCTTACTTTGAGGCTGGTTTGTAACTTGCATTCTGATTGGTACAGTAGACCTAGTACCATAGTTAATAAAATTGAGAAATGGAAAACAAGGACAGGTAATTGGAAATTGTGAGAGACACAGCGATAGATTTACAGGGCTCCAGATATCTGTACGTATTGGAGTATGTACAGATATAAAATATGCACGATACAGTAGGAAATAATTTAGAAAACGTAGCAGATACGCACCACAGCAATGGTGTATGGTCTTAAAATCACTTACAGACACATTTATCTGAAAAAAGTATTGTTTTATTGTTTATTGACCTGTTTAGACAAGAGTAGCAATGTTGTGGTGCATATATGAAACATAACACAAGATTACTGATACGCCATTAAATTCCATTCTGGGCCTAGATTTTCGAAGCTCTCTTAGTGCTAAAATAGTCGTAAGTTAATGTTAGTGTATGGCACTTACGACTATCTTAGCTCTAAGGGAGCTTCGAAAATCTAGGCCCAGTACTCTAAATGTACTCTTAAGTTTTTCCAGTATCCCTATATTGAAAAAATAAGGAGTACGTACTCCTGATGTTGAAAAATTATCTGGAGCCATGGATTTAGGGGTTAATGTGGTTTGAGGAAATGCGAACCTGGCAACACTGACGATGGGCATTATAGAACAAATACTCTGTGGCTAGCAACTAGTGGTGTGCAGAATAGTTGATTAACTATCCTTGAATTGATAAAGTGTAATTGGGTGGGGAACTTGTTTTTATGAAAGGTTAAATTAAATTCATATCTTGTGTCGTTCAGTCTGAGTAAACTTAGGCTCAGTATTATTTGTTACACTACTATACCGAGTCTAACAAACCCTAGTAGAAGGCCGCATCAGCTAACCTTTTTGAATTGACCAATCAGAACACGGCTTACCAAATCGCAAAAGTTAACATTCGCACATACCGTTAGAATGTTTTGAAAACAAGATATTTTAAGTCACTAAATAATTTTGAAAAGTAACTTTCATGTATGAACTGCTGTAAATTGTAACTAGTTGACAAATGCTTGATTGTTGCTAAATATTCATAACCCTATTTGAGCCTGAAAGATACCAGGGTCATGTTGAGTCCAGTTGTCTAAAGTGTGTGTTTTTCATTCACTTCTGCACAGGTGCGTGGTTCTTGGGTCCAGCCAGGATGTGTCGCTGTTGTTCAGTGTGTTCGATAAACAGAAAAAAGGAACATATGGAGTTATTACGGACAGGGTGAGTTTTTTCTGTTTTTGAGTCAGGAATTTGGTAATAATTTTCATGATTAAAGTCTCAATAAAATAGTATTTCAAGTGATTTTTATTTCATTTTCTGAAAAAGATCTACAATGAATGAAAAATAGTGTACAAATTAAATTTGTAATTAGTTGTTGAGAGATGGAGATGCTGCTGTTGCTGCTGCTGCCTCTGACATAATTTGTCATTTATCTGAAATTATCTCCCCATTTTCAGGGCATGAAACCATCTCCACAAGGCAGGTACAACCATGGAAAAGAATTCCAGGTTATTAAAGAGTTGGGTCGTGGAGGGTTTGGCCAAGTCGACCTCTGTGAACACAGGTCTGGGAAGAAGTATGTGAACAAGAAGGTGAACATAAGTATTCATATTTTGTTGCCATTGTAGTGTGGTTAAAGAATTGTCAAGGGTTTTATTGAATTACTGAACTCAAAGCATCTGTAAATATGTTTTCATTTGGCCATTATTTAAAATTATTTGCTGAAAGGACAAGGTACGCTAAGAGTGTTGGGTTCCCAAAATGTGAATCTGTTCCTAATCTTTCACTTACTCAATGTACTTGATCTTATTCAATACTTTCATTCCTTATGGTTGGTATTTGTTGGTGACTCAACTCTAAATTAAAGAAAATATCATGCTTTCAACATGTTCAAGTGGTAATACATGGCATCATGTTCCAATTGCATGTTTTGATGCTCGTGCTATCAATCACTCAATTGTGATTATTTAAAAACGGGCACCGCATAGCTGGACTATTGCCGACTGTTGCATTCGGCACAAACAAACACAAATGAAAAGAAACAAACTAGTGTGGACTGCCGTATTTGTTGCTAGATTTCTGCCCGATTCCGGAAGAAGGAAGTTGAAGTGCTGAACACTCTAAGCCATCCCAACATCACAGGTTTCCTTGGCTACATCTTCCGGGAAGGTCAGCATGAGATCCTCATGGAGTATGCTGGTAGGTTCAACCTTTGACCTCGTGTCAGTCCATTTGGTTCACCTGAATCTGTCACCAAAATGGTACTAAATTTCTGCCCTTGATGAAAATCATTATGATAGCATGCAGTACTTCAGCCAGGCAAGCGCCATTGTGCCACTGACATTAAAAAATATGCAGTGTCACTTTTTTTCAATGCTAGAGCGCACCCATTGGCGCAACAAGTGATATATTCCACAGGCCTTCTATACCATGGTTACCATGAATGGCAAAAGTCTCAACTGCATTGGGTGGCCTAGTGGTTCACTCGTCATGTCAAAGACCCGGGTTCGATACCCCACGTTGGTACATTTTGTGACACCCATTTCTGGTGTCTCCCTGCCGTAATGTTGCTGGAATATTGCTTACAGTGACATTAATCCATACTCACTCACTCACACATTTTGCTGACCTTGTAGGTGTGTCCCTGTCAGCCTTCATTGCGACCAATGCCAACTGGCGGGAGCTGTGGACACCGGACGCTGTGATGAGGATGGCCATGCAGGGCTTCTCAGCCCTGGCCTACATGCACACTGTGTTCGAGATCCTGCATCTCGACATCAAGCGTGAGTAGTATATTCTATACATGCATATATCTTGCAATCACATTAAAATCACATTTTACTGCGAAACGAAAACCTCTGTGGAGGGACAGGTGGACATCTTTAGAAGATTGTGAAACTTGAATGTTTTGGAGGTTTAGTGGTTGCAATAATAGGAAGTAATGAGCCACATTGTATCCATGAAATGCTGCATCAGGTGAAACTTGAATGTTTCGGAGGTTGAGTGGTTGCAATATTCCGTAGTGATCATCCACATTTTATCCATGAAATGCTGTTCATGTTAGCTGTGATTGAGTTGTTGCAATTTTACATTTTAGGTCAACCTTGAGTATTTGAATAGTTGAGTATTAGCAAAAACTTTTTGATCCGTCACCTTTCATCCATTATCAACAATTGATTTTCAGCGGACAACATTTGCATCACTTATGAAGGGGACAATTCACCTGTGATCAAACTGACAGATTTTGGAACGAGCAAGACGCCCGAGACTGCAATCTGCTATGATGGCTGGACACCAGAGTACATGTCCCCAGAAGCCAGCAGACAGTACTACGCTGCCAAGGCATCGGTCCCCGAATGTTTCCTAGCCGATGACATCACGGGCAAGTCGGACGTGTTTGCGTTCGGTCTGACGATCTGTTACATGCTTCAGGGACAACACACTGTCCTCCTTCTGTGGAAAAACCAGCTGAGCTTGTGCAGTGCTCAGGAGTTTGCTGCGATTCGACCACGATTCATTGCCTATGTGAGTATTTGACCTATTTTAGTGGACAGCAATTGTTTTGCTAATTTAGTGTTTCTATGTTAAATACTGCCTGCTTGTTAAATGGAAATAGAACATAGGTTGAAAACTATAATTTTTAAACTTATCCCATCTCACTACTTGCACCTCTCTCTCTTCATTCGACCATGAGTGGAAACGAATTAAACTTTGCTCCAGGCCTTCCTTGTCCCTGTCCCTATGCTGTGCATGCCTTCCTGCCTTAGCCATGCTCACTAGGCCGTGACAGCACGTGGCATGCGCAGTCCTCACCCACGTGATCACCTTCCATACTCATTCTCTTTCTTGTCGCTCGACAGAGTGGACGTGAATTTTTTTCGTCTGATAATTGCTCAACATGGTTAAGCCTGTTCAGGCCAGAAACGAAGTTTTGCGCTCAGCGTAATAAAGTTTTTTCAGCTTGGGACCCACACACATCGTGTGTTGATTATGTGGGTTGTTGTGATTGGGACAAACGTTGTCCTAAGTATTCAGGACTGTCTAATGAGGATTTTAAAGCTTACAAATGTGCTTGTGCTAGATGTTTGGCACATAGGGCCAGGAATGCTTATGCGGGATCTGGTCTATCTCCCGCTAAAAACAATGTTTACATCGCCCACCCTACCTGCTCGCCGTTCTCAATCTCCCGTCGGCTCCTACGAAGATTTTATGGACGCTTCGTCTGATTCCTATTTGTCTGAGAATGTAAAAGGCGTTTGGGACGCTTTCCTCACCTAGCTCAAGTTCTCATGGGCATGCAAGGGTGGTAATGGCTGATGTTTCCTCTACACAAGACCTGCGATCTACTTCATCTCGTAGATCCGTTTCTTTGGACCGTTCAAAGTCCTTGAAAACTTCTAAATCCAAGCATTCATCATCGAAACGTGGCTCGGCGTGGTTGGAACATAACCGTTCTCCTCTTCGTACGGTTTCATCCCACCGAAGCAATTCACCCACACGAGTTGAGTCACCATCTGGTTCGGAGGTTCGAATTCGTTCTTCTACTGCTGGGAAGTGTCGTTCTAGATCTCGTTCACGCTCGAGCTCTCATCGTCCTTCCAATGTACCAGTCCGAACCGTTTCACCACCTCGATTCATTTCACCAATCAGAATTGGGTCTAATGCCAATGTTGGTTCACTAGAACGGAACCATTCACCTAGCCGTGTCATTGCCAAAGGTCGAACTAGTTCACTCAGCCGAGCCGGCTCACCAGACCGAACTCGAATGGATTCACCAGGACAAACCAGTTCACATTCCCGACTCAGTTCACCTCAACATAGGTTTCAGTTCGACTCACCATCTCATAGTCGAATCAATTCACCACAGCGTTTTGATTCACATAGTCGTTCAGTCTCACCTAGTCGAAGTGCTTCGCCATTTCGATCCGGCTCACCTAGCCGTACGGTGTGTTTTCGTCAGAGTGATTCTCGTAGTCGTTCTCATTCACCTCAGGTGAATCAGGATATCCCTAGTGACCACTTGCGGTCAGCACCTTTACGTGATAGTTCCCCACATTAACATCGTTTCTGTGCGGGTGGTTTCACCTGCTAGGCTGCGTTATGGTTCAGTAGATCGGCGTTCATCTTCACGCCATGCCACTTCTACTTTGCCTCGGTCATAGGTTATTGCTGAGTCTTGGAATCCTGCGCTTGATCCCTCTCCAGCGCCGGGTTTTGACACCATGCTTCTTGCTGTTGACCCTAAGTAGCGTAATTTTGCGCACACTGTAACAATATTTACTTCCTCGGATCCCCACTTGTCCTGTGTGGGTTGTATTGACCTGTGTTCCTGGAGCAAACGTTGTCGGGAATTTGCTCCCTTATCAAGGACGTTTTTAGAGCATGTAGACATGCTTGCTCCTGTTGGCTGGCAGACAGAGCTCATTACACTTCAACAGTTGATCACCCGACAACCCCCCCCTTTAAACGACCGGTATTAACTGCTCGTCGTCCGGAGATTCCCATGTCGGACGGTGGTAATTTTATTGGTGCATCATCAGATGTCTTCTCGTCGTTCCGCCTCATCAAACCGCTCTGTGTTGCCAGCTGACTCACACAGCCGATCTACATCGTCAAATCGCGGAATCGATTCACCACACCAAATCGATTAGCCATACCAAATGGATTCACCAGACCGCACCGTTTCGCCACGGCGTATGTGGATTACGACATCGACTCAGTTCGCCATAATATTAAGACTGTTTCTTATCGCCGAAACGGTTCACATCATCGATTCAATTCACAGCACAGAAACGATTCACCTCGGCCGGAACATTTCACCTCGCCTCACCGGTTCATCTGAGCGTTCTAGATCTCTCCATCAGCTGATATCATTTAAACGTTTCGGATTACCGAACCGATCAAGATCACAACATCGATCCAGATCACGGACTGATTCAGATCACGTCAACATTCTGGCTCACCACCCTGAACCGATTTACCAGCCCGACAGGGCATCTGTGAGGCGCTGAATTCCTCATTACGAAGTGGCAAGCTCTAAGCTCGACAATTTGATTTGTTTATCCGGTTTACCTTACATCTTGTGAGGTGCTTAATGTTTTTAGTCACATAACTTATCCCACCTTGTACCCCTTTTTCGGATGGTTGTACAGAGGTAGTAGCTATGTGCTTCACCATGCCGAATTGATTTACATGTGATGTCAGTAGCGCAGTCATCTAGAGATATCACGCTCAGCACTTGACGGTCTGACGATCCCAGTTCTCAAGAGTCCTCCGTGGCCGGGGCTCATCTCATTCCAGATTTAATATACCATCCGATCTTCACCTTTGATGAATGATTTGGTTCAATGATTCTACCCTTCGGTGTACATATCAGTTCTACAACCACCCGATATGGCATTACTAGATACGCTTGCTTGCTAGCCAGGAATACTTTACGACGCTCCACTGAGTCTTATTACTACAGACTACTGGTAAGAGCGTGTTTGTGTATCGCTGGGTGCAAGTGTTGCAGAAGGTTCGTCATCTTCAGCTCCCTTTGTTTTACATGATAAGCAAGTTTCTGGACAGATAACAGATGGGTGAAGTTTTTGCGCATGGTACCAGCAGTGATGTTTTGTCAAATAGCCAGCATAGCTCAGCAAATGGTTTGCAAATGGCGGACTACTGTTTGTTTACCAGAATTTTGATGATTAGAATGACTATGAAGTGCCCTTGCAGAGTTGTCTTGGTCCCACGAATCGGATACCAAGTCCAGCCTTTAAATGCTAGTAACAATGAACCATTCTCGGTAAGAGTGATCGTGTCGGGATTTCGACAGCCAGTCGAGAGAGACTGCTTATCGAGGGTGACAGACAGAAACACCCGTGAACGGTTCGACTAGCTCAAGCACTAAGTTCAGAGGTCACTGCAGTTATACAAGGACTGTCACCAGGCAGCGATCTACTACCTTTATCACTCCACCTGGCGAACCATCATTTTGTTCGGCCAACCGAAACGTTCCTGAGATCACCGATCGTACGAATTTCTTCAATTCGTTTACAATGTGAACGTTCCTGTAGATTGACTGAAATCTCCATGCGCCGAACATACTACATTGAGCACTCCGTCAGAACTGACATAGTTGCTCGACCTATTGAACGTTGTTATATCAGGAGATATCTTTTTGTCAGAGGCAAGAGTGGTTAGACCTCTCAGTCCCTCGACCTGCGGGACGCCTACCTTCACATCCGGATATATCCAGACTATCGGAAGTATCTTCGATATACTTTCAAGAGGCGTCATTGATACCAATGGAGGGTCCTGCTGTATGGGCATATGTGGGGCCCCCGTGGCTTTTTACTCAGATACCCAATCCGATAACAAGCTACCTGCATTGTCGAGGCATGACATTTGAGAACTATGTCGACGATTGTGTTCAAGCCCAGCAGGATCCAGTCGTCCTTCCTCTCCACAGGCAGTTCATCATCAAGTTGCTTACGCAATTAGGATGGCTGCTAAATTCGGAGAAATCGGAGGTAACACCGACCCGATGATTTCTTTTTATTGGGACAATATTCAACACGCCAGGTCATGATGTTTGTGCCCCAGGAGAGGTGGGACAAGATTCAGTGCAACACACCACTAGTGTTGGTCCAACCCACAACTTTTCGCCAGTGGCAGAAGTTACTAGGGTGGTTGATGTCGGCACAAGAGCTGACTTACAGGGGCCAGCTGCAGCTTCGCCCTCTTCAGATGTTTCTGTGCCCCTTACATCGGGGACGACAACCCCAGGGAGTTGATTCGTCTTCCCGCACAACTACATTCAGTCTTTCGTTAATGGCTCAACAAGTGGAATGTTTGTGTTGGAGTCTCTATGGTGCCCTTCATACCGACTCAACACCTGTTCGTTGACACATCTTTCAAGCTGGGGCGCTCACTTTCTCCATCAAGTGGCCTAGCAGTACTCATCAGGAGAAAGGGCCCTTCATCACAACGAATTGGAATTCAGCACTGTCATTCTCGCCGTTTGGGATTGGGCAGTTGAACTACGGTTCACTCATATACTGATTCAATCAGACATTTCGATGGTAATTTTGTACATAAACCATCAGGGGTCGACAGGATCAGCAGCTCTGCTTCAGCTGATGTTTCAAATTTATCATCTGATCGATTCACTCCACACAGTGGCCAGAGCCCGACACATTCCCAGGATGAGGAATGTCATTGCCGATGCCCTGTCACTCACGGAGTGGAAACAACTGCCTCTGATCTTCCAATCAAAGATCTACCTGTTTTCACGACCAGATGTAGACCTGTTCGGCACTCGGGACAACCATCAGCTTCAGCGCAGATGATCACCAGTTGCAATCGTTTCTGCTTTGTGTACAATCTGAATAAAACTCTGAATTTTATTTCTGATTTGTGTCTTCGATACTTCTGGGACTAGTGAGTTTTCCGATTCAATTACCCTTTCACCCTCCACGGGACAGTGTCTGTGGGGGCTGTTTCGAAGCAGAGGCTGGCCCGATACTGGTCGTCAGACCTTGGAAATTGTGGTAATGCGACTGATTACACTTGCTAAGCTGCGTCCTTTCACTTTCGTGAAGGTAGTGACTGAACACCACATTGCTCGGGAATCCCGGTCCCTGGAGCACTTGTGCTTAGTAAGTCAATGGGTTCAAACTAACCATCGCATGTCTCGCTTTTGAGACGCTGGAGGGTCGCCACCTCACTTACTGTCCTCTGCTCCACGGAGTAATTACGCCAGTGAAGTGAGTCATTCCCGAAGTGTTACACTTTGTAGCGTTCATGCTCCTAAGTACCTATACACATCTATGTGATCTTACTGTGGCAAGTAGTGGAAGTCATAAGATGATGTTGTGGTACTGAACGTTAAAATTGTGTGTTTTTCCGATTCAATTACCCTTTCACCCTCCTCGGTACGGTGTCTGTGGGGGTTGTTTCGAAGCAGGGGCTGGCCCGATACTAGTCGTTAGACTTTTATTGCAGGGGTACTTTGGAAATCGTGGCGATGCGACTGATTACACTCGCCAAGCTGCGTCCTTTCACTTTGTGAAGGTAGTGACTGAACACCACATTGCTCGGGAATCCCGGTCCCTGGGAGCACTTGTGCTTAGTAAGTCAATGGGTTCGCAATAACCCCCACACGTAGTAACTTTGGTAGTTATTGGCATGCCTTGTAGTTGCTTCCTACGGTTGTTTTGGCATAACGCTTAGCTGTTATCGCTTGAACTTCGGGTAATCTATGACCCACCTTCCTACCGTGGGATAAGTGCAAGTCTTGAGATAGGATAAGTTTAAAAATTTGGAAATTTTAACTATAAATTGTATATTTATATACTTATCCTATCTCAAGCGATAAAGTCCCACCCTACCTCCCCACTACTTAAATTACCACCGTTCTGGTTTTGTCCTTTTATGGCTCCAAGATCGAGAATGAGTATGGAAGGTGATCACGTGGGTGAGGACTGCGCATGCCACGTGCTGTCACGGCCTAGTGAGCATGGCTAAGGCAGGAAGGCATGCACAGCATGGGGACAGGGACAAGGAAGGCCTGGAGCAAAGTTTAATTCGTTTCCACTAATGGTCGAATGAAGAGAGAGAGGTACAAGTCGTGAGATAGGATAAGTATATAAATATACAATTTATAGTTAAAATTTTCAATTAATTCCATTTAAAGTCAGATGCATGTTAGTTAAAAACTCGTTTCATACATTCATGAACATTGAACAGAAGCCCTCCAAGAGGTTACAGCTAATGTAAAGCCTCCAATAGTTTGATTGTTGTGTATCCATCCATCCATCCATCCATCCATCCATCCATCCACACACCCACACAAAAGATTCAGGTTAGAATTGGTCTTCAGCAACCAAAAGAGGCGACTATCAGGTAGTCAGACTTGCTGACATGGTTGACACATGTCATTGTATCCCAACTGTGCAGATCGATGCTCATGATGTCAATCACTGGATTGTCTGGTCCAGACTCAATTATTCACAGAGCGCTGTCATATAGCTGGAAAATTGCTGAGTGCGGAGTTTAACAACAAACAATCCAATCCTATTTTCCAGTAATTAAGGTTCTCAGTTTGTGCCATACCCACCATTTAGCACATTTTGCCCTTCTTTTCCTCAGCTTGCACAGAGTCCTAATTACATCCAGGACTATGGCATCCCAGCCGACCTGCCTGTAAAGACCCGTGAACTGCTGCAGTGTCTTCTGGTTGGAGATCCCAAAATCAGGATGACAGCAGAGGAGGCATTGCTGTACATTCAGCACCAAGTACAAGGTCAAGGTCAGGGTCACAGCTGTTCTTTTCACCTCCCTGCTCAGATTCATGTGTGTTGTTTCTAGAACTTTCATTCAGTTTGTTTTAATTCATGGTTTTTAGAAAAATAATGCTTCAGTCTGTGTTCCAACACTGTCACTTCAAGGTCAGTGTCATAGCTGTTCCTTTCACCTCCCTGTCCTGATTGATGTTTTCTGTTTATGGATGTTTCATTCAGCCAGGTTTTGATTCCAGGTTTTTACTCGTATGATTCAGCCATGATTCATTACACATTATGTAACTGGATGTTTAGTTGATGGTCCCCTGCCGCAACGCAGAACGGGGGACTGTATTCAGCGATCCCGATTCTTGTTAACGCGATATCTCATGAACTGTTGTATCCAATGTCTTCAATTATGTCGACAGCCTACATTGGGGGATTGTGCAGACAACAGTCATTTCAGGCATCCTGTATGTGACGAAAAAGTAAAAAGTAGTAATTATGTTAAAAATATGCCATTCTTTAGGGGTGGGGGACATTGCCATATGTTTTGATATTTGTTATCTTCAGCCATTACTGTATGTTCTGATTACATGTTTCTTTCCACAGTCACCCTGCCAACGATTCTGCCACCATCCTCCCCCTCGGCTTCAAGCATCTCGGCAACATCTGGTGACCTTATGACATCCCTGATGACCTCTGATCTAACACTACAAGAAATCTCGCTGAAGAAACCAGTGCCTCCTGGTGGAGGGAAAGATATCAAGAACAGCCTTCGTCAGAAGCTACTGAGGCGAAAGTCCGCTGACCCCTATCACCGACACTGTAGCCGCACAACAAGCGGTATGACAAGCAAGGCCGAGGCAGAGGAAGACAAGCTGCCAAACTTTGCTGCACTCTTTGACTAAAAATGCCATGACTAGTTTTGCGAAAAAAACGCCCTTTTCTCTGAAACACCTTGACCTTCATGCATGCAATCTCCTGACAACAACACGCACGTCGGACGCACGCACCACGCACGCAACGCATGCACTCACTTAGACTTAGAGAAACACAAATACATTTGATCTACAGTAGACTGCATTTTCAAATTTTTCCTATTTTCGTTTAAACCTCTTGACATCTCTCTCTCTCTCTCTCTCTCTCTCTCTCTCTCTCTCTCTCTCCCCCGTAAAAAATAAATAATAAAAATAAAATAATGCATAAACTGTTCTGTATGTGGTTTTCCATTTTGTTATTGGTTTTTATGTATGTGGTTTTCCATTATGTTATTGGTTTTTATGTATGTGGTTTTTCATTATGTTATTGGCTTTTTATGTATGTGGTTTTAATTATATTATTGGCTTTTTGTGTATGTGTTTTTCCATTTTGTTAGTGGCTTTGTTAAACCATAGTGCTTTAAAGTGGAAGTTGTTGGTTGACATGAAGTCAAGTTCTTACAACATTTGAGTGGTTTCCTATCTTTGAGATACAGACTGACAGATAGATGATCCTCATCTTTACTGTGTAAAAGATCATGTAGATTAAGATCTGCCCTATTTAAGTGCTATCATCTTTTTAGTGCTGTTATCTTAGCGCTGTCCTGTTTTAAGTGCTCTGCTACATAAGTGCTCCGATATTTAGAAATGCATGCAAGCTTACATTTCTTTCAGTTTGTCTGTTTATCTCTTGTTTTGTATAAGTACCTTAAGATTTATCAGAAAGTGTATTCACCTTTTTGTAATAATCCAGCGTTTGATGATAAGGTATTCAGTCTTTTAATGGTTTTTTTTATGTAATATTTTTTAAAAAGTTAATAATGTACAAAAATAAACCATGAAATATAAACTTGTGCTGTTCTGTGCTTGAATAAAATGCTACTGCTTACATAAGAGGAGTCTGTTGAATTCCAGCAAGAGAAACGAGCAATCTGGCTGCTGTGTACAAAGCTCTCTTGGGGCTAAGGTAACTCCCTTACCTCAACATAGACTTACGACTGTCGTAGCGCTAAGGTTGTTTTTTCAACGGCACCCACTCATCAATTTGAAAGGATCATGTATGCCTGCAGTTATATTCTAACAATATGGTGACAGGTGATATCTAAACTTGGCATAAAGAATAGGACCCATGTCGGGAATCAAACCTGGGTCTTCAGTGGGATGGGCAAACACTTAGCTCCTTTATTGCATTGAATAGATGATATAAATATGTGATGTCATGTAACCATGGTAACAAGTAGGGGGAAGTGTAAAACTTCCATTTATATGTATTAAATTTATCAAGGAGTGTGTGAATGTTGTTTACTCAGCATTCTTGCAAATGTTAACTCCGTAATTTATATCTAGAACTACAGCTGTGTTAAGGACACCTGGGGTGAGTGAGTGAGTCAGTTTAAGCTGCTTTTAGCAATATTCTAGCAATGTCACGACAGGGACACCAGTAACAGGCTTCACCATGTTGGGAATTGAACCGGGTCATCACTGTGACGAGCGAATGCTTTAACCACTATGCTACCCGCCGCCACAGAAAGATTTAACTGCTGGTATTAACACTAACAACGTTGCTAGAGCCTTGTGAGGCGGTGGGGTAGCCCAGTGGGTGAAGCGTTCGCTCGTCACGCGGAAGACCCCGGGTTCAATTCCCCACATGGAGTCCCTGCCGTGATATTGTTGGATAATTGCTAAAAGCCGGATAAAACCCAACTTAGTCAGTCCTAGAGCCTTGGGCAAGGTCTCAAACTAATCAAAACATATCTTCATCACCACTGGCCTCTGTCTGACATTCTAGAATGGTTTACGCTGGTCACATATTGACATCCTATCCCAATGGCGTATATCGATGGTCCTGCTGTTGATCACTGGATTGTATGGTCCAGACTCGATTATTTACAGACCGCTGGAATACTGTGGAGTGCCAAAGGGTTACTGAAGGTTTACTCAACCCCGACCTTCACGGGTGTGATCTTCAGTAAACCCATGCTTGTTGTAAGAGGCGACTTAGGGATCGACAGGATCTATGTGTGGTCAGACTCGCTGTTGACTATTTGGTATCGTGGACACATATGTCATCGTATCCCAATTGCGCCACAGTATGACAGATCATGATGCTCATGCTGTTGGTCACTGGATTATTTGGTATCGATTATTTACAGACCATCGCCATACAGCTGGAACATTGCTGAATACGATTAAACAAGAAAAACAAAGACTCTTTCTAACTAAGCAGCCACAGTATGACCGTTGGTATATGACCAGATGGTAGTATGCATGATGCGTATGTAAAATCTTTACATGTTGCCTTCCCTCCTTGTGTGACGAGATGAGTGAGACAAGTATAAGAGTTGTATATCGCCGAGCGTCATTGGTGTATTAAAACAATATAGCCAGGCACACGAAGCCCACACGCATGGATATTTGTGATATATACGTTATCTCAGACAACTGTAACCGATGTGTTTGTTATTCATGACAACTGTAACCGATGTGTTTGTTAGACAATGTCTAACTCGACAACATTCGATGTACCCTATACGATGACATGTGTCAACCAAGTCAGCGAGCCTGACCACCCGATCCCGTTGGTAGCCTAGTTTTCGCATACATGATGCGTTAGAATATGCTAACAAGTACCTATATGTGTAAACACACACACGGGTGTGCGTGCGTGCATGTTTTGATGTTTTCCCAGTATCCGCTCAATCGTGATCACATTTCAAGGCCACATAGCCATTCGGCACGAGATCCACGTATGCTCGCTACTGTCACCGATAAAGTTCTCCCATGTCATGTGTGAATGTCTCACACAGTGTCAGAGTACATCCTATTGATCTGACGGTGACCCGGAACAGTACTTCACCTGCTGTACATGTAACCAGAGACCTCTTATGTAACTATATGTAGAACACGCGAGGGCGACATTCCCAGAACTGGTGGTCGTCTGCTCTCGCTGACATGGCTATCTGCAGGTGTGGCGGGACCCGTCTGTGGACAGTATCCGACATTCCAGGATAATCTGCTGTCATTTGAAACCTGACGTCACAATGGATCAGTAGAAACAGAGATCTACAAGTCTCCCTGCCGTTCACGAAATAGCAATAATAATAGATATCGACAAAAATTAAAGTTCAAGTTTCATTTCTTTTTCGATGCCTATTATTTTTGCACCCCTTCGATTACTTTATCATTTCAAGTGACATATCTTAAAAGGCCTCCCCACTACCACTACTTCTCTACAGGGGCGGTGGGTTAGCCTTGTGGTAAAGCGTTCGCTCGTCACGCCGAAGACCCGGGTTCGATTCCCCACTTGAGTGCAATGTGTGAAGCCCATTTCTGGTGTCCCCCGCCGTGATATTGCTAGGAAATTGCTAAAAGCGGCGTAAAACCAAACTCACTCACTAATTGTCTACAGCAACCCATGCTTGTCGTAATAGGTGACTAACGGGACCGCGTGGTTCAATGTCGGTGATGCATGTCATCGTTTTCCAATTGCGATGCTCATGATGTCAGTCACTGGATCGTCCGGTCGAGACTGGATTTGTTTTTACAGACAGTCGTCATATAGCAGAAAAAAATCTGAGTGCGGCGTTAAGCAACAAACAGAAACAACTGCTACTACAACTCCTGCCTAGACTGCTACTTCTACTACCACATCGAGCTGACACACTATATGAAAAACCTGAAATGCCTCAACTATTTCGATGCTCACTAGAAACACTTCGTCTTATCGATGGCAATCGCGTGGCTTGATTGGCCTGTGTGTAATAATACACTTGATCTGTAATGGAGACCCTTGACGGCTACCGCTTTTGTGTATGTTGTAGACTGGGGAGAAGTTCAACAGTTTTGTTGTGGGATATACAGTCTCAAATCCTGAAGTTGGATGAGAAATAGGTCTTCGGGTTTCAAACCGACATTATTATCTTCATATCAAGAAATAGAAAAGAAATCTGAACCAGTTATTTTGTCTGTACTCAGAAAATGATCGACACGACAGGTATAGGTTAAATACGAGTTGAATGCAAAAGCAGCCAAACTGAAATCATCGCAAACTCTGCACCACATCTAGCCTTAGAAATCGCATGAGAAACCAACAAGTCAAAACATTGATTACACAACAGTCTCGTTTCCTGCTGACTGGGTTCCGTCCTATTGCGCAACTTAGGACAATGACCAGTCCAGAATTTTGAGACCAATTCATTCAACTGGATATGTAAACATTAATCAGTATTACTAGTATTTGATACATCTAAAGACTTGTTTATGGCAACACTACACTCCTTTTAATCCTTGCAAACACGTCATGTAGTCGTGCTCTGTCGTTCAGTGTGCTCTGACAAACGGAAATCTGGAATTCGTTGAAATCCCCAAACGAGGCTCGGCCACTAGAAACGTTTGGCGGTCTGATACGGACTTAATATTATATCAATCGCATTGTACGTTACAAAATTACACCGAATAAGCGCAAAAAACACATGACAGGTGTAACCAGTGAGCCAAATGAATTGTGAATCATTTTACGACATCATCAAACAGGGGCAGTCTATGACGTCTTAGTTAAGGTCTTGCTCCCTAAACCTTGCCATAAAATATAGAAACACGATTTTATTACAGTTTAAAATTAAAATTCATTTGTAAATACCATTTTCTTATGAAACAAGGAATTGGAATTCATTGTAACCAAAGTTGCTTGTAGTGTCTCTTTTCACTTTCACACGAGAAAATTCGGATCGGCTGAAAAGTAGGTCATTGTCTGAATTGGTTAATGAGACTCATGTTTCGGTTTGATTTTTGAGGAAGATCATATTATTTTCAAGATTAATCACTTGATGTTGATTTAGCACACACACGCACGCACACACACAGATTCCCAGCCAGATTCCTACATATCTCAACGTTTAATGCAAATTTACATTGTTGGTTGTCTCGAATCCTGGATAAGTGGAACCGTTTATCGGCCTCCTATATGAGTTCCACACATTGAGGTTCGATTGTATATAATTCCCGTGCGGGCGGGAGGTTAAACGTGTGGGCTTCATTTAAATCCTACATTCAACTTTTGAACTGACCCCCGCGACATGGCTGTATGTTGCATGTACCGTTATCTGGAATCAGCCGAGGTGATGTCTCATGACGATTATTTATCCTCGCTAACAGGTTACGGTTAGGGTACAGTATATGTACCCCCACAGGTGCTGATAACGAAGTAGAGGACCTTTGTGAGTAACCTTTGTTCCGAGTTTTTATCAATGTTGGCAACAAACGATAAAAACAATAATATGAGGACCTCCTCTGTTTGTTGTTTGAAATGACATCTCCTTGTGAATTACACACAAACAGATGTTGACCTTAAGCTTTGCTGATTAATATGAATGCGAGGATATGGTGCAGATGAGTTTTCTTGCTTTGAATGTAACCCCGTTTTCATATAAGGAATTACTTTCATATTTGGGGCGGTGGGTTAGCCTAGTGGGTAAAGCGTTCGCTCGTCACGCCGAAGACCCGGGTTCGATTCCCCACATGGCGTTTCCTACGAGCGGCATTATCCTGCTCGTGGTCGTCCCAACAGACAGTCCAAATACCGAACTCGTACTCCTTCACTCTCTAGATGCACTAAGTATATATACAGTTTTTGACAACAATGGACAGGCGACGACTCATCAATGGACAGACAGAAAAAACAATAGCACTTCCTTGACCAGTTGATGTGATGGCAGACACGGCCAAGGGGGATTACCAATGAAGGTTATAAATGTCTTATACAATAATTAATGGGCTGACAAGTCAATTTACAATGCGGTAGTGATAAGGATGTACAGTAGTGATTAAAAATACAACTAAGCGTCATATATATATTACAATAAAGTCTCACATGTCTTGAGTACATAGTTTTG